TCCCGCCCAACTTGTCAGTTCTCCCGCCCATATTTTTCCGAAACCTTGGACGCTTTGCGCGAGGAAGGTTTCTGTCCTTTTCCAATTCTAGAGCCTACCCCTCAGCCGTTTGACGGTTGAACGGGATCGCACTCTCCCCTTTGCTCCAAGGAAAAAAGGTGTGTTGCGAGTGAAGCCAGCATTGGAACATCAATTTTTGGATCAGCTGTTTTTCGTGACTGCGTTTGTTTTTGAAAAGAGATGAGAGAAATTTTTTTGAAGAGAAAAATTTTTCGAATGAGAACCAAGTTTCTGAATGGAAACGGTGGGCAATCAAATCTCGACGACGTTGCGTACATGTGATATATTTATATATACATATGTACTCCTTTTTGATAATATACGCACGATAAGGCTACAGGTTATAAGGTGGAAACTTCCAACCCAACCGGTTTCCTTGAGAAACAAATAAGAGTCCACGATACAAGAAGTGCATAAGGCAGCCCGCAGCAGACTATCGACCACAAGGAGAGGCTCTCCCAGTTATATCCCCAGAACTAACTTCAGAGTTACTGCATTGCTTGTCTGCGCTACCCCGACCCATGGCCCCTGGCTGAGATCACGATTGATATGGAGAAACCTAGCCAGTGGGTTTCCAAATTGTGCCGACTCCACTTTGCTGATGAATATGGCAGGCGAACAGTCGGACTCCGGAGTCACAATGATGCACAAGATCTCCTCCACAAGACTACGTTTGCAAATTGTCGCATGCCCAGCTGACACTGGAAATAACTTATGCCTCATTGCAGCAAACAGAACTCCTTGCAGGCGTAATCCACGAACAAGACTGCAGAGCCATACGCGCGGCTTGCTGTTGCCTCAACAGTCTGTGCATCCGAGTAGAAGCCCAAGCCAATGTAACAGAACATGCAGTTATAAGCCGACAGCTACAGCTCATGCAAGCGTGTGCAACCCCACCCTACAGAGGACCTCAACACAGCTGACACAAGTTGCCCGTCCCGAACCTCTGCTGAACATTTCGATGATAGAATTGTTCCCTGTCAAAAGGATTAACGCTCGCATGCCTGTACCAATGCGGTTGAGCTAGCAACCAGTGTCAACTCGATCGCATCGAATACAACTGACTGGAATTGCACGCATTTGTTTAAGCGTCCCTGTGGAGTAGTTGGTAGGGCGACGTTCTTGACGTCGCGGACAGACTACCGGTGGCGGTTCGATACCCCGCTGGTCCGCAGATAAGCCTCAAAGTGTGGTGACCAGGCGAAAGCCAATTGGCGCCGTCCACAAAAAAAAGGAATGCACGCATTTGTTTATTGATAGATTGTGCACTACTCCAGAACGAGAGATGCCGTATCCCAAGCTCACCATGTGATTCCATCAGAGCTGTGTGCCCTCGATGATAAGATGCTTGGAAAAGAACTACTGAGCGGACTCTGAGTGCGCCCTGAATGCCGTAGCTACTGCCGTCTTTCTCACATTAGATCATGTCTCACCTTCTGTTTCACATTTTGCTAGTTTTTCACCACTCTCGTTGCGACACGGCGTCGTCGTTGTTTGCTTCGAAGTGCCTGGGTGAACGTTATGCCTGAATGGCTGCTCTCTGTGATCTCTGGGATCCTGGCTGGGGGGATCCCCGGTTTCCGCATTGAGCTTTGTTGCTTCTGTGACCCTCTTGATTGGCCCCCTTTTGTGTCCTTTGTTGTCTTTGTTTTGCTTCATTTTCGGTGGCCATACTCAAGATGACACACAAGATGTCATCGTTTCTTATTAGCACTTTGAGCTGGCAGCGATCCCACTTCTCGGTGCTTTGTGGTTTTGGTTTTGTTGTTGTTTTGTGTGTTTTGTTTGTTTGGTTTGTTTTGTTTGTGGTTTGGTTCGATGGGACCGCTCACTGGACTGTGTATAGGTCCATTACCAATGCTCTTTTGAGGCTATCGTCATTTTGATGGCCTTGCATGATCATTTACAATTCATCTTTTTGCTGCGATTGGACGTGAGTAACGACCTGGCGAGAGCCATGAAGGCGTTGGACGGAAAAAACTCTTTGATGACAAGCTTCAGGCCGTGCATCGGTTCAGGCTGTTCTTGTCCGGCTTGAGATGCAGGCTCCCTGGAGGTTCCTATATCCTCAAACCAGGTGGGGCGAACCGATTTGACCCCTATCGCGCTGTCGGAGTTAGTATTTTTAATACTTTCCCTGCGCAGGCTGTGATACATGGGAGGAATCATCCATGCTGGGACAAATACGGTGATGAACTGGACGTTCCATGCTACCTGCAAATCCTTGGGCTTGAAATCAGGTGTGATGCATCTGACCTGCCCATCTATAATTCTAGTGTATGACTCGGATCGGTCAAAAGATGCCGTAACTTTAAGGCCAAGATATAATTCTTTAAACCAGTATTCTTTAAGGAACATGAAATAGAGGTGGGGTGCTCTGGTGTCCAACAAATGCTTCGCTGGCATTAGAAAGGTCACTAGCCACTCGGAGAGGAATTCAATAATTCTTGCTTCCAGCTTGGGGAGAATGTTCTGGGTAGCCTTGAATGCAGGCTCCAGGTCTAGGCACCTGTGCTGTTGTGGGCACTCCTACCGTGCATCTGGCGTATTCATCTGCAAAAAAGAGCCGGCACATTTTGGAGACCCACTGGCTAGGCTTTTCCATATCGATAGTAATTTTGGCCAGGGGCCATGGATCAGGCAACGTGGATAGGCAATGCAATAGCTCAGATGTCAGCTCTGGTGCTATTACTGGGAGCTCTCCTTCTTTTGGGCGATATTGCATGGCTGCTGTTGCGCTGCTTTTGCTGCGTTGCGTGTGGGTCTTGGCGGCTTGATGTGCTGACTGGATGAGGGGGCCATGTTGGTTAACCATGGCTCTCAAATAAGATACCCAGCGAACCCGAGAAGCCTTGGGATGAAATATCCAAATGTTTGTTCAGGTGAAAACTGTCGTCCTAAAGGAGTACTCTGTTGGTTATGCGATCGAGCTGGAAAGCGACTTGTACGAGGCAAGAATGTGAACAAGGAGTACGAGCCTTCGACATAGCTGCAGAAATGGTGCGTCGAATGGAAGAAGAAGCTGAAAAATGGAGAGGTTGTAGAAACAGAAGAAGGTATGACCGATACATGCGATCAGATCTTGACGAAGTTTCTGACCCAGGATACTGGCATGACATTCGAGCAACCTGAAAGTGAACATTCAGGTGACCGAGAACAAGAATCAGATGAGATGGCGTCCGATCCAGAGATGTTCGAGAAGAAGAAACATCGATACATGCTGTGAGAAACATGAAGTTTCAGATGAGGAGCTGTGGCTCGAGGTGAGGAGCAGTTGGAAAAGCAAGCCGCTCCTCTGTCTGCTCCCCTATCCAGGCAGCCAGAAGATCGCCAAATTTGGTCTCGCTTTGATATCCAGATGAGAAAAGTTTGAATCCAAATCTATGTTTTCTTAAAAACATCTTTTGTAACCACAACGCCTGCGGAGTAAGCGCTCATTCACGTCCATGCTTGTGCATGACAGAACTCTTTGGCTAAACTGAGGTTTCAGTTTTGGAGTAGTTTTCAACTAGCAAACTGCCTAAACAAACGGGTTGAGTCCAAAGTACAAAACTCTATACCCCGCCTTTGAGTTATGAGTGGATTTACTCACTGACCCAAACTAGAGTCTATTCCTACGGAAATAAACAACCTAGTTTCAACCATTCAAATCCAAGTGGACATCTGGTATGTCTCAAAGCAGTAGGGCCTTGGATTCTGACTGTCTTTTTTTCCGTCCAACGCCAGATGGCTCTCGCCAGGTTTATGGCTTAGCTTTTATTTTCTTCTGCTCAAGTCTATTGCGACCATTCCATGTGAAACGCTATCAAGGAGATCGCGTTGACTCCTTGCATAGCACTGAAGTCTTTCAGCATCCTCAGTAGTGAGGCTCATTTTCTCTCATTTTCACCTTCTTGCTCCATGTAGAAGCGAAAATCCAAAGCTGGAACTTTACACCGCGGACGAAGGCCGCAGCCCAGTGCCAGTCCAAAAGCTCAGCCTATTTTGCCTACGCCGCTCGGAAAAGCAAAGAGCGCTCCGAAACAGTGCTGGCAGCTCTTCCTATGATCACCGACCAGTTATCGGCCCTCACTATGAAGCAGGATATGCTGGAGAGGCAGTGGAGGTCAGCCCCTTCGGAGAGCCTTGTTTCCGCCCATAGCAGTTGGGAAGTCGTCGCAGCCGGTCTCAAGCCTGCTCAAAGGCACTCCCACTGTTCCATACAGTCAGAAGCCGTAGAGGGGTTGGGCTCATTGTCTGTGCTGTGAACTTTATGTATTGGTCCCGCTTTGCCCTCTCTGTGACCACGGTGGGACAGTGCAGGTCTCCACTAGTGGAGGACGCAATTTGCAGTTAATGGCTCGTCTTCAAGAACTTGCATTGGCTGCAGAATCTCTAGGGTTGTCATCCAGCCCTTACCAAGAGCATTCAGGAGAACATGCAGTGCCAGTAAACAATGATGCTTTTGGTCCCTGAACGATTGAAAATCACCGGGAGGGGTCATTGGGATGCTTCCCAGTACATTGAGCCTGAGTTTTACATGCCCTGCAAGAACCTCAATCCATTGAACTTAGTGAGCCCATTTTTGATAGAGGCGTGCCAAATTTTGCAATGGACCAGCCAGCCACCGTTTTGAGCCTTTTCAAGAAGTGGGATGACCCTGGGCTTTTGATTTTGCATCCTGCAGATAGCATCACCACAGGAGAATCTGGCCGCGTAAAGATCTTTAATGCCTACAAATCAGCAGAGGTGGACCGCCAGATTGGCGACCGAAGGGAGAGGAACGCATGGGAATTTCGCATGCCAGGCTCTTTGGCCCAACTGCTTGTTGGACCGCTCATTGGCCGCCTGGTGGTGCCCCTGGGAGCGGATTGAAAGTTTGCGTTACGGACAGGTCACATTTTTATCACCAGATTGGGATGTCCTTTGAGCGAAGTAGGACCAACATTGTCTGGCCAGGTATGTCCTTGCAATCTTTTGTGGAGTTCAAGGCTTACCAGCAATACCGCCAGAGAGCCTCCAGCCATCGCAAGCGGCCGGACCGCATGGTGTTTGGTGATGACTTGAATGGGCATCGACCTCAGGCTTGGTCTACAGACCCTTCGTGTATGGTCTATGGTGGTTTTGGCGCTGTCCTTCAGGGAGACCACTTGGGTGTTGAGATAGGCATTTCAGCGCATGTTGGACTTCTTCAGCAGCATGGACTTTTAGCTGACAAGGGGCGTTTGGTCATGGGCTCTTTTGGTGAGGCCAGCAGATGTTTATCAGGGATTGGTCATTGATGATTTTTTCTGCATTGCTCCGGTTCCTCTGGCTGAGCTCAGCCATGGCTATTGCGGTCCTCCTAGCGCTGCCAGGCGTGTGTTTGACAAAGCAAAGAAGGTCTATGCTGAAGTTCGTCTGGCTGGATCAAATGCAAAGGATGTGATTGACGAGACCCTCACTACAGTTGTTGGAGCCGAGGTTGATTCACGTGCGAAAGTTGTCAGCAAGGGCATTTTGCCTGTTGGAGCTCCTGCAGCAAAACGACTCTCACTGTCTTGGATTGCAGCATGTGCTAGCAGATATGGTTGGACTTCAGACTCACTTCATGCCTCTTTGGTGGGGGGCCTGACTTCAGCTTTCTGTTTCAGAAGGTGCAGCATGTCCATTTTGAACGAGCTCTACAAAGTGATCCCTGCTTAGGAGCTGAACACAGAGAAACCAAAGCTGAGGGCGTTGAGCCGCTCAGCAGCAGAGGAACTCATTTTGAGTGCAGTTCTCTTGCCAGTTTTGGTCTCGGACGTGAAGGCTCCTTTTCATGAGAGGATCTATGCATCAGACGCTTCGAACAAGATGGGGGCTTTCTGCGAAGCAAACATCAATGAAACCTTGGCGCACCCTCTCTGGCTTGCAGGAGATTTCAAAGGGGCTCGAGTCAGTTTGGACTCTTGGCAAAAAGTTGCTCTCAGAGATTGCAATCACCTGGGGGAGCTTGAGTCAGAGTCAGAGGAGGCTGGGCCTGAACAGCAGCCAGCAGCTGCATCTCCAGAGAAACCTTTGGCGCAGTTCTATGACTTCATTGAGGTTTGTGGTGGATCGGGTGGTGTTTCGGACGAGGTGGCAAAGTGGGGCTTTACAGTCGGGCCCATCATTGATTTGACCTATTCTGGGCAATACGATGTTGTTAACCTGAGGGTTGTGGAGTGGCTGCAGTTTCTGATTATCCAGAGGAGGGTTCGTGCCTTGATGCTTGAACCTCCATGCACCACTTTCTCAGCAGCAGCATATCTACCATGCAGAAGCTACCAGGTCCCAAGAGGCTTCAACCAAAAGCAGAGCAAGGTGTGGGTTGGCAACAGGTTAGCTTTTACATGTTTGATGCTTCTGATGCTTGCTGCTCATTACTACCTAATTGGCCTTTTGGAGACGCCTAGACGTTCAAAGATGGCATGGTTGCGTGAGTGGCTGGCACTTTTGGAGTTGCATGTTGAAGAAACCTTTACAGCCTCCTGTTCCTTCATGTCAATTTTTCAGAAGGAGTTCCAGTTTTTGACTTGCAACATGCGGCCGCAGAGCATCTGCAAGCCTTGCACTCGGGATCACAAGCACGTTCGCATTGAAGGTCAGCTGACGAAGGGTTCTGCTGTTTACTGCCCAGGCCTTGCAGCCGCTTTGGCCGAGCTTTTTGCAAAGCACCTGAAAGCCAGCTATGCATTTCACAGTAGGAATTCTTTAAGGGCAGACGGGCATGAGAGCATGTTTGTGAATGAGTTGGTAAAGACAGCTGCATGGAAGGTTAGTGCAGCATGGAAATGGACAGGGTCCTCAACACATCAATGTTCTTGAGTTAGCCAGTGCACTTCAGGCTGTGAAAAGAATTGCCGCTCGTGGAGGAGGTAGGGCCATCCTTTTGCTTGACTCGAACGTCGCCTTGCAGACCATTGCAAAGGGCAGATCTTCTGCTGAGTCGCTTGCCAGCCTTCTTCGGAAGATCTGTTCTTTGTGCCTGGCTTTTGGAGTTTCCCTGTCCGTCCATTTCTGCCCAACTCGCCTGAGTGTCTCTGATGATCCTTCTCGGTCAGTTTGCCTGCGCCCAGCCCGTGCTGGCGGTTCCTTCCTGTCTCTCTTGGACTTTGATGGACTTTTCCGCCTTGCCGAGCTTCCAAAACTCCGACGTTGGATTTCCAATTGGACTTGCCTTTTCTTTGGACTTTGCTTCCACCTTCCCTTCGTCCCGCGTCCTTGGCAGTGAACAATCCCCGCAACGGCTCCTCTGAGCCTCCTGTGGATTTTTATCACTTCCTGTTGGATTTTGATTCCACTCTTGGCTACCCTGGTGAAGGACCCGTAGTGTGTAGGTGGATTTTCCTAATTTGGGGCGTTAGCTTAGTTTGCAGCCATGGGATGATGCCGCGTCACCGTGAAGACCAGAAGAGGTTTGAACTCAGAAAAACCCGGCCCTTGGCTCAGGGTCGTCCAGTGTGCAGCCACTGACCCGTATGAATCGAGACAAGCTTTTGGATCAGTTTCGGTGTTGGCTGGCGGAGAAGGGTTTTTTGCCTATACAGCAGGTTCTGAATGAAGCGTATACTGAACCCGAAAAAGTTGTTGAGTTTTTGGTGCGCTACGGAAAAGAGTTGTACGAGGCTGGAAGGCCATACAGCCATTATTCAGAAACTGTAAATGCTGTTAGGGCAAGTAAGCCCACCATTCGTAGGATGATGACAGGGGCATGGGATCTAGCTTTTCGTGAGGAACCAGGAGAGCACCACACGGCATGCCCCTACCAAGTTCTTTTGGCCGTTTTGACGACAGCCATCATTTGGGGATGGCCGCTTGCCGCTGGGGCAATAGCCTTGTCCTGGGGATCTGTATGCCGAATGAGGTGCTTCAGGCGCGGCGGCAAGATTTGGTTTTGCCCATTGATGTGGGCTTTTCACATTTGTCGGTGCTCTTGAAGGTTCAGGAGCCCAAGACGCGTTTCAGAGCTGCACGTCATCAGATGGCCAGAATGGATCATGAAGACCTGGTTACTTTGGTGTCATGTGCTTTTGAGAAGCTGAAGCCAAACGATAGACTTTGGCCACACTCTGGACAGCTGCTGAGAAACCGCTTTAGGCAGTTGCTGGAAGCCATCGGCGCTTCAGTTAGCAGTGAACGCATGCTGGACTTGGGTTCCTTACGAGCTGGAGGGGCAACCCATCTTCTGATGGTCACGGAAGATGCAGAGCTGGTACGTAGAAGGGGTAGATGGATGGCTCACAGGACCATGGATATATACTTGCAAGAGGTGCTGGCGAGCGTATACTTCCCTAGACTACCAGTTTTGGTGAAGGCAAAGGTGCTGCACTTAGCCCTAGCCTTTCCTGCAACGCTGAACCGCATGAAGATGATGACAGATGGTGGCCTCTCTCCGGGCATGCGGTATGACTTTTTCATTATGCCACAGATGGGAAGAGTGGGAACACAACCAGGGTGGAAGGCCTTGCAAAAGCAAAGGCGCAGAGAATAAAACCAAGAAAAGGCTGAGAAACAAGAGAGTGAGCAGCTGTGCATAGCTGCGAGTTATCAATGTGCCTCGCCGCTGCTCAAGACTGCCCAAACCCAACCCGCCCTCTGAACACAACCAGGGTGGAAGGCCTTGCAAAAGCAAAGGCGCAGAGAATAAGACCAAGGAAAGGCTGAGAAACAAGAGAGTGAGCAGCTAAATAACTTTAAAATTTAAGAGTGAACACCGCAAGCCTATATTTTTGGGTCAATGCTGCACCGCGCCACAGGCAAGTTTCACTAATTGGCGCAGGACAACGACGCGTGCAGTCTCACCCTTCTCCGTGGTCCAACTTGACCCGCTGTGGGTTTAAAAAACGAGACAAATGGACTGGATATAATTTTTTGGGCCTAAGATCAGTTAATTTTGTTAGGTAAGTTTGAACTGCATTAAAAATTCTAGTTTTGGATGGCGGAAGATTCCCTGTTGTCAGAATGAGAACCTTCGCCTAATTAGAATTCTTTCTGAATCAGGTCAACATTGTATAGATTTCAAACCCATCCGAAATTATAATTCGGGATGGGGCCCATCACCGTCTTCTTACGTTAATATGTCTTGCGACTTGCAGCGCAAACTTACGTTGTTCGGATCCTCAAAATGTCTCACCAGCACGTTCGCCTCGCTATACTTCTTTCTAGCTCGGGTCACGACTGTGTCGATTTGGGCCCCATCGAACATTTTATTTTTGGATGGGGCCCAAACTTGACAGAGCCGCCATCTTTTTTGGGTCTGATGTTTTACAACTTGACACGGAAGATTACTTGTTGCTGCAATGATCCCATTCTTTCTGCTTCAGGTCAACAGCCTTTGAGCCCCATGAAAAACTATAATTTTGGATGTGGCCCAAACTTTCTACAGTCACCCTCTTTGAAAATTATAATTTTGGATGGGGCCCAAACTTGACAGAACTACCATCTTTTTTCGGTCTGATGTTTTACGACTTGACACGGAAGATTACTTGTTGCTGCAATGGCACTCCTCGGCAACAAATCCGTCCCCAGAACATTGGGTTCCATCCACTTCTTTCTGCTTCAGGTCAACAGCATTTGAACCCCATGAAAAATTATAATTTTGGATGGGGCCCAAACTTTCTACAGTCACCCTCTTCTTTCACTCCGATGTTTTACGACTTTCAACGGAAGTTTACATGTTGTCCGAATACAAAGATGCCTCACAAAACAGTCGTGTCGATATCCTTCTTTTTGACTCGGGTCAAAGCTGTGTCGATTTGAGCCCCATTGAAAATTATAATTTTCGATGGGGCCCAGTCTTTCTAGAGTGACCATCTTCTTTGGTTCACATGTTCCAAATTTTTTAGAAGCACCATTTTTTTGGTTCTGCTGTTTTCCGACTTGCAACAGCCGCCTACATGGTGTTCGAATGCGTTAGATCCCTCACAGGAATTTGGGTTGGATAACCTTGTTCTAACTCAGGTCAACGCTGTGTCAAGTTCACCTCAGATAGTTCCACATTCATATGACCTTTCGCTTTCGTTCACCCCCCCCCTGGGCCTCAAATTTTAACTTGTTGTGTGATGGTTGCATTTTTGGGAACCCATTTCGAATTATTGAACCAACATGTTTATGTTTGTTTGTGCAATGAATTTTTTCCATTGAACTTGATTAACATTTGGTTCAATCACGGGATGGGCAGCACCCATGGCAGATGACTGACATGCGTTGAATCATGTTGCGTTCAAACTGCATCATGGTGAAACTATTCCTTATAGTTGGAAATGTGATTTGTCACAGTCGAATGCAACGGTTGGTCCATTAAGATTGCATTGCAACCTTGTGGATGTGAGCAGAGACCATTCAATAAACATACAAAACTAATACCAGACATGGCACAGGTGTTGAAACAACCCGGAGCAGCCACTTGCATCAAATCTTAAATCAATCACATCCACAACCGGTTTGCAGCTCCAAGTGTGGGATGGGATGGCATTCGAGACCGATGCCATGAAGTATTGATCGTATGGAAGGTGCGGTGTGTGTGTGTGTGTTCAAGTGTGTGCGTGTGACCTATTTTTTTTGATTCCCGAAAATTGGGTTAAGGGCAGGAAACCCCAATGTTTGTTACGAACATCCATCATGGTTTTCTGACGAAAATGCCTTGAACCAATCCATTGATGGATAACATGTTTCAAAAACCGCGATCTTTGCCCAATGAACCTCAACATGCAGGTTCCACAAAGAACCACGTTCTTGTCACGTCGTTTGCTTCTCAGTTTGCTTATACACAACTGTTTGAAAATGCAGTAAAAAACATGTTGTATATTCAGGTCTTCAAGCATCAGTTCAGATTTTGGTGCCTTCCGAAGTGCGTGCCCATTGAAAAAGCCACTGGCTCAGTCTTTGCAATTGATTATTTTTTTGTCAATGGCATCTCATGGGCCCAGGTTCGCTCAACCCCATACTCATCTTGAATGGTCCTACTTTGAGGCCTGTTTCACTTGCCATTGTTGGTTGTTTTGAAAAATGAAATGTGCTATTGTGTCATGATGGGAGGCAGGACCAACTGATGGAAACACTCTAGTGCGAGGAACTCAAACAAATGTCAAATTCACCTGATGGTTTTTGTGTTCATTGATTGATGGTTCCATGTAACTTTGGCTGTTGAGGTTTTTGCATGGCACAAGCAGCACCGCTGCGGCATTTTTTTATCAGGTGCGTTTTGAATTTGCAGTTAGTTAGGCGGTGTTTTGGCCGGCGTTATTCAGGTGATGTCACTGGGCGAAAAGGGCTACCATGCAGCGAGCTTGCAGATGTTCATCCCATGTTGAAAATTCATATTTTCTTCGGGATCGTGATTCAGGCCAGAAAATCGGTAGAAAATCATGTGGCTCCACCACTCTGAGGTCATCAGTGCGCAGTACCCCGCCTTCTCCACCCCTGCAGAGTGGTGCAAGGCATCACTGTGGAGATGGAAACAGGACGTAGGTTCAAAAATTGGATGCCCCAAAATCCCATGAAAACCTCAAATTCATCACCCAAATGGCAATGTTTTTTTTCTGCATTGACAAATGAACTGTTTCCTGGTTGCATTCATTGCATTCCCCCCAAAAAATCACTGAGTTCGCCAGGGCTTTGACCGATTTCTGGATGCCATGAAGCCTCCGCCTCAGCGCCTCAAATTTGTCCCAGCCATTTGGCCTGACCTCAAAGATCGAGGTGCCGGGCTGTGCACATCATTGGAGCTGGACTTGGCAACTCGGCTGTGATTCCCGGAGAAGTTGCTGTCCTTTGAGGTGTTGATGGGGTATTCCGGCGCCAATGGCAATCTTTCTAAACATGATGATTAGCCAATTTTGTTCACTTGTGGATTTAAGGGTGCCATATTTGGAGACAAAACCATATCATCGGTTGGTTGACAAACATCATCGACTGCCGTTTTGAGGTGGTTTTCTGGCCCAACACTTTGCAGCCAAGTATTCTCCACGTGTGAGGTTCGGGGCCTGCCATTTTTGTCAGTTGCGCTGACATCCAAAAATCGGCACTGCACAGGTCGCTGGTGCTATGCAACTCATTTGCCTCTACTTATGCTTTCGAGTCACGAGCTGGTACGTCAACGCCTTAGCTAACAGCAACCAGACGTCTCAAGATTCCTAGGCATTTTGTGAGGTTTACAGCGTTTGCATGTTCTGTAATTCACAAATCAGCCATGTTTTACGAGGTGGGCAAGCCTGATCCCGGTCATGCCCTCTGCTTTCTTGCGGCAGGCTGGGTTGGTGGTTCTGTTCGGCTGCAGGTGTGCACCCTGTGAGTTGCAGATGTTGCAGGCTATGCAGGATACGCTCCCACAGGCCCCAGCACCATAGCCATGGTTGCCATGGTTGCCATGGTTGCCATGGTTGCCATGGTTGCCATGGTTGCCATGGTTGCCATGGTTGCCATGGTTGCCATGTTTCTTGACGCCTCATGTTTCACCTTCATGTACACCAACAGAGGCCCAGTGAGTTTGTGCAGGGTGGCTTTATGGAGCTCAGTGCCAAGCAAGCCATCGACTGGGTCGGTTTGCAGGTGAGAATCGGATTGGTTCTTCTGATAATCAGTCTTGAGTATATAAGTGAAAGTGCAGAAAGCGATCACAGAGTCAATCGAAAGATGAGGACAGTGACTGTCAGTGTTAGTCATTCAGCTGTCACGGCCTTGACAGATGAACGACCTGAGTGGGGATGATTTGGCCAGCAGGCAAGCTGCCAAACACCAACCAGCAGCAGAATTCATAATCCAACCCCAAGAAATGGATGCTTCAGCATTATCCCCTCAGAATGCGTGCTGACAAATTACTTTATCATTTTCTGGGAGTACCGTTACTATCAATATTGTCAGCTTCAGTATCCCAGTGGACATTAATTTGGTGCAGGCTGAGCCTGAACTGCAGTGGCTGTCAAGTTGCACCCCTGCCACTGGAGAACAACAAGGCAAAAGAATCGGCTTAACTTTGAACACACTTTGCAACCTTTGATGGGATGGCTGTGGTGTTTTCTGGCATAGATCACCATCTTGGAGTCCAACGGTGAGACAATGGTGCCGGATGAACTTCGACGACAACTGAAGCTGATGTGCCCCGCTTATACTGAGACTTCCCCTGACCTTGAGCATTCTTTCGGCAACTTCAGAGAACTAGTGCTTCTTCATGCTGCTTCAGTACCTTTCCATATGTGCCGGCCATCTTTCCTTCGCTTGAAGGTATCAGGGTGCCTGCTTCGCAGAACTCAAGTCGCGGGGAGATTTCCCGTATTTGTCTCGGCCTGAAGAGGCCGCAAGAACCATTCCCAAGCGAGTGCATAATCCATTCGAGCAGTGGATATATGTAGCATATATATAATATAGATGAAGAATATGAAGATGAAGATAAATATGAAGAATATGAAGATGAAGATGAATATGAAGAAGAAGAAGAAGAAGAAGAAGAAGAAGAATAATAATATGATGATGATGCTGATGATGATGATGATGATGCTGATGATGATGATGGCGATGATGGTGCTGCTGCTGCTGCTGCTGATGATGATGATGATGATGCTGATGATGATGTTGATGATGGTGATGATGGCGATGATGGCGATGATGGCGATGATGGCGATGATGGCGCTGATGGCGATGATGGCGCTGATGGCGATGATGCTGATGCTGCTGCTGCTGCTGCTGCTGCTGCTGGTCATGATGATGATGATGATGATGATGATGATGATGATGCTGATGATGATGATGATGATGATGATGCTGCTGCTGATGATGATGATGATGCTGATGATGCTGATGATGCTGATGATGGTGCTGATGATCATGTTGATGATGCTGATGATGATGCTGGTGATGATGTTGATGTTGATGTTGATGTTGATGTTGTTGTTGATGATGATGATGATGATGTTATATATATATATATTTACATACACACACAGACGTTACACACATATAATATAAGTATGCAATACATGTATCATGACGTATATTAATATACACATATAAACAAGACAAAAGACTAAAGTCGGGATGACCACTGGCTAATCCAGCAGGCACTCTTTGCAAGCAGCCACGCTGACCTGACCTTTGCTTTGCAGGTCACTCTTTTCATAGAGGTGCACATGCGCCGTTGTAGTCCTACCGAGCCGGCAACAGCAGGCCGTTTCCAAAAACTTGTTAGCCTCCAGTGACTTGAGGGTGTCCAAGACACTTCTGATTTGTCAAGTCTTGTCCTGGAATTTAAGGTCTGGAAATCAGATGACTCACGAATCTTCAGGGATGACATTGGGACTCATTGGGTGACATGTGCACTACGCTTCCGGGAGCTTCCGCAGAAAAGTGCTGCAGGCTACGGAGGGAGCCCAGAGTTGTGGTCGGATCAAGGCAAGGGATGCGATTGGTATCCACAAGTGGTTGAGATAAGGCTACGGGTCAAAAATTATGACTACCAACCCCCAAATGTTGGTCATTTTTTGGTATTAATCATTCAGATCATTCAGTTTTGGATACCCCTATATTGACCCACGCCCATAAGGTTATTGCATGGATGCATAAACTGTTCATCTCCATTTGGGCCATGGATTGATTCTGGTTGCATTTGCATGCATTTGCCAGATGTGCTGGCGACACATGTTGAAGTTCCAGCTCGACGGGAGGCTGGTTTGTCAGTTGGGTGAGTCTCATTGCTGATTCTTGCAGAGGTAATATGGGCCATGCCTCACATGCTTTGTCCGGCTAGGTCTGGAAAAATCCCTTCGAGGAGAACGGGCGGATCTCAGAGGTGTTTGGTGGTACGATTTTTCTATTCCTATCATTTCCTACCTCCATTCCTGGGACGATGATCCACAATGATTCTTTGGCTTGAAACTTGACACCACTGGTCTTGTTGTACGAATTTGCTTAAGTCCACCTTGAGTCCACATGCCTCCTGATTGTTGGATGATCTTGGATGGCGCAGGACGATGATTTATTGTAGTTCGGATGCATCCTGGCATCTTAGCCCATGTACATAGCAGGACATAGCAGCATCTGGAGCGAAAGTCTCCTGTCATTCCTGTCCGCCGAGTTGAGTCAAATTTGTGCACACCAGAGGACATGCAAGAATTGCCACGAACGAGTTTTCGAGCTGGAACTTACCTCCTTACCTTGTTTTCCGCAAGGCAAGGATAGTTGAACGATTCAGCTTAGCCGCAGCCCTGGCTTGATGAATGCGAGGAACGTGCTAGGACATTTGAGCAGTTCACACGAACCCTGTGCCTTCTTCAATGAAAGAGCAGAGAAACCCACCTCTGACTATTTCCAACCATCTCTGACTAGGAATTCACCTTGACAATCCAAGCTTTTGGAAGCTCAGCATGCCCCCCAAAAATCATTCACCTTCACCGCTTTCTCAATATTCTTGGGGGAGATGACCTAGCAGCAATGGAGAGTGTGAAGCTTGGTGTTTGGACACAATTGGCACAGAAACGCAGACTCTGGATCCTTCTCGCAGTGGAACAGAGAACTTGATGCCCTGTTGCCCTGTGGAATCCCTGGGGAAGAAACTGTAGGTATGGGCTATGGCTACCAAGCGTGGCAACCTGACTGGGATCGTGATCCGAGCGCCTGGGACTATGGCCACGTCAGCCATGGCCATGGCACTTGGGAAGGCCCGGAAGCTGCACGTGTCAAGGTGTCATGAGGTCATGAGCTGCGCTCCATGGCTTTCAGCCAGGCTGGGACTCCAGTTGGTCAGGCGCATGAAGCTGGAAAATCTGGAAAGCTGACTGGAAAGCTGCCAAAGTGATTGCAGTCTTGTTTTCCCTTCATGTACCTGATTGAAAAGACTCCTGCTTCACCATTTTGGTTCAAATGTGGAACATTGAGACTACTGGTATGGGTAAACCTGTGCGGATATAGAGGCCACAACAGCTACATTGTACATTGTACATGTCATACAGATCATCCGACAGAGCAATGAATCTTTTCTGCATGCCGATGGGGGAAGGAAACGTATATAATCTTGAGCAGCCAGCTGTTGAGACTGTAATATCTGTCATTGGGTTTTGAAAAAAATGAAAGCCACTTGTTCCAGACACAGAATCTGCAGGGCCCATGCCTTGCTCAGCTGCTGAGTTGGTTGATGGCGATTGCTTGTTGGGTTCAGTGGACTTCGTAGATTTTCCCGAGCTCGGTGCTTATTTTGCCTGCTCCAGACGTTTGTCCCGTCACGCTGCCGCAGCTTGGGATGCTCGTTCCTGGAGGATGCAGAGCTTGGAAGCACGGATCCCGGAACACGTCAAATGGCGCCCTGCAGCAGATCCCGAGTTGAACCAACTTCAGCCCGGCAGTCTCCAAGGCTCTCGTAGAGCTTGTGCCACTTGGAGACTGGCTAGAGGACTTCAGCTCTATGAGCAAAAACGATTTAAAGATGCCGAAGATGAACTTCGCGCTTTGCTGGTCATTTTGCCCGGCAGACCTTTTGCAATGTGCCGCCTGGCAGACACTCTCTATGGCCGAGCCGTTTCATTGAATGCTGCGGTGCCAAGTCAGCCTACCTCCAGAAGTTCTACACCTGCCAGTGCAGGTGAAGCTTGGGTAGATGAACGAATGGATCACGACCAGGGAGCTGGCGATGGAGATGAAGCTGGAGAAGGCGAAGGTGATGAAGGTGAACCCCCCATGCCTTACTCTCGCTCTCCTTTGTCTCCTGCACCACCTCGTTTGGAAGGTCAGGCTTCGATGCAAAGTTTGTCAGTCTCAGAAAGTTCCATTGCAGCCCCCGAGCCACAAACGAGTACCCTGACCGCCACTGCCGCTGTGGCTCGGTGGCAGGAAGAGGTGGAGCCTCTGGTGGAGCCTCCAGTGCCCGCGGCCGTGGCCACCGCGGCCACCGTGGCCACCGCGGCCGTCCCCACCGTGGCTCTGCCCATGGAACCGATGGAACCGGTGGTGGCGGATCGCGACCATACCAGCTCCACTGCTTCGTCCTCGCGTACGCCTCAGCCACAAACGCCTCTACCGTGGACGACATGGACACCACCACTGGAGGTTGATGAAGGACCTGAAACGCAGGAGAGGGTCTTGAACAAATGTCAACATGATGCGGAGATCATTTTGTAAATTAATGGTGACCCGCAATTTCCCTTGCAGAAAACTCATGGAATCAGATGGAATCAGTATGACATATTTGATATTATTACTGTAAATATTTAACTCTTATCATTATTAGTCTATAATGTATATATAAATATATATATATATAATTATATATATAAGTATATAATACATATGTATCTATTTATGATTATATATATATAATATATATATATATATGTATAGAGTAAGATTCTATTGGTTATTCTTTGAATTCGCCGATGTTCTATTTCTGGGGTCCGCAAGTAGCTGCTAGGAGACAGCTGACCAGGATACCTTGCGGGCCAGGCCCGTGCAGCTTTTCCCCAGTATTTGTGATAGTGATTCCAGATGACCCATATGTTCTGGGAAGTTGAAACCACCAAGTGACAAGGTCTTAGAAGGTCTTAGAAGTTGTTGAAACAGACACACCCGGCTGGTGTTCAGTGTGGGAAGCTTTTCTGCACGCCTTTCAAGGGCCAGCAGTTTCGAAGAAGACGAGCCGCCTGAACCATCTGAACCGAGGCCGGAAGTCAGCAGGGAATTTCTTGTTACTCGCGAGGATTCTACAGCTCTCAAAAAGATCCATTGTTTTTCTTTATCTCGGATTCTCTAGTGTTGCGCGCAGCAGACAGACACACATTTTGTGATACTGTGCTTTCCCACGTTTCTATTGCATTCTGTGTTGCCCAAAGTCTCCTTGCCCAAAGTTTGCGAATTGTCTTTTCTTGAGGCATGCAGATGTTGAGGAGGCACGAGTGGAAATCACTTTGTTTACATCCTCACATGCCATTTCTATCCATTCCATGTTTTGATTCATTTCGCCATCAGAGCCATGATGAGCCATGATGTTTTTCAACATTGATCACATTTGCAGCTCGTGATGACAGCTCTCAAGGCGCGAGAAAGCACCTCCAAAATTGAAGCACTGCGAGAGAGGCTTCTCTCTGAGGCGTAGCAAAGATCGTCTGCTTGGGTCAAAATGGGGGGCCCCAAAATGCCATGGGTTTACAGCTCTTGTGGCCCCTTTTATCAACTAAACAGAAGAAACATTTGTGGCTCCAAGAGCTCTAGATTTTGACCCCTCGAATGTGAGGCAAAGGACCTCTATGAGCAAGCTTTCCGAGATTGTCCTGATTGCTCATATGCAGCTGGTGGCTCAGGTTTGTTGTGAGTGCAGCTCAGCTTCTTGAAAGCCATGGTTGATGAGTGAAACAAACGCACCTTCAGGTGAATGGCTTGACTCTGTTCGTGAATCAAAGGCGCCCCCTTAGCATTCCACTTATTTGCTGCTTACATATCATACAGCCTTGGACAGTCTAGCTGATGAGAACTCTGCAGATCCTTGAAGATCGAGCTGTTGGAACGTGCCATTGAACTGGATGATGAGTTTGCGCGGCACGTTTGATGATCTCTGATGATCTCTGATCATGTTTCTCTCTACATTTCACTGACATCCGCAAGTACTATGAGCCTTTTTTCCGAGACTTCAGCCACGACCCTCAGCCCACACCAGCCCCAACTCCCAGCCCCAACTTTGGTTGAGCTGCCAGGAATCCATATGCGTTGGCGAATCTGGGTGGTGAGTTGTTTGGAGTAGACGATCATCGGGCACTTCAGCTTTTAGAGAAGGCATTACAGCAGCTCGGTCAACATGGTGGATGCGGCATGCCGATGATGGACAAATGATTCAATGATGATTCATCCGTGGATTCGATGGATTTATGGCCATTGTGGATGGAATTGGATCTTAGATTACATTATTTTTGGCAAAGCCATGACATAAGATAGAACGAAAGGCAGATGTTTGGTTGGTTTCAAGCGTTTTGTTTCCTCTGGCCGGGGTGGTGATTCCAACTTGAACTTCTGCTTCAGGGTTTTCAATGGTTGAGCTCTTTAGCCAGGGATCCTGTTAGTTGCACTATTCACATCTAGTCACTGATGGTGTTCAATTCTCTGCTTGAGTTGAAGCTGAGGATCAACCCGCGACTCTTCTATGCACGCCTTTGCAAGAGCAAGGCAATGGCCATGGCTTTCACTTGTCAGTGGAAAACTTGCACAAGATTCTAAGCTCCTTCCTGGACTCCGAAACCATTTCAGGATTCTGCAAGCGGCCATTGTAGAGCTAAAGACAAGGGACTTGACAAGTTAGGGATTCCCGAAACCCTCGACTGTTGGAAGACTTCCTGGGCTCTTGCAAATACGATTGCAAAATTCCTGTCTGTTGCAGGCAACCATTCAGATCATTCAGATGGTCCATTCTGAATTCAGCTCCAAAAGACTGGTAGGAGTGCATGTTTCCCAATCCCTCAAAGCTCTTTGCCCAAAAGTGTAGGAAGGACACGAGGAACAAAAAGGCCACAGTCACCTTCCACTGGGCCACAAGCTGTCGATGTTTCAGGGTTCAGTGAAATACAGCGCTTCAATTTTGGGACACACCGCCAGTAAAAAAAACTGTCATAAACAATTCGTGTTCCCTATCTCATATAATCTCATATATCTATGGATTTATTTACGGCTCAAAATTTGGTACCCGTCCCGTGGTTAAGAAACTTAAAGTCTCATTTCCACATTATCGAATTAATCCAATTTCAATGAATGGCCATAACCTCCAAAAAAGGAAAACTTTAGAGTTTCCATTTCTCATGTTGCAATCCAGGTGCTTTTACGCCTTGGCAACCTTCCTGCTGCGGTGGAAGCAGTGCTTTCCTCAGGAAGGGAAGACAAGCAGGAAACCACGGGATATGTGTGATTTACCAGCCAAGTACGGTGGCTTTTTTGCAGAATTCTCCTCATATAAATATGAACCCATGCATGCAACTATTTGGGGTTGCCTTTCACATTTTCATTAAACCTTGGCAAAAACCAGATGTCCAGCACTTTGAGGCACGATCGCAGCTTGAGTGGCAACCGCATGATGAGTCACCCCGCCCCGGTTTGAAAACCGCAGAAATGACCCAGCGATCGCCCAGCCAGGATGGCGGCTCGCTTCCTTTCACAACTGGAATTTCGGTTGGATGTAGTGCCGGAAACTTGGTCACATGGACACCCGTTTTTGTTGCCAAGTCCTTTATACCCAATTTCTCACCAATATGATTCAACACACTCATCCCTCTCTCTCTCTATATTTATTCATATTTATGTACATATTCGCTATATTTTGTATATATATATGATATGATATGATTATGATATGATATGATATGATATAATGTAATATAATCCAATATAATATAATATAATATAATATAATATAACATAATACAATACAATATAATATATGTATATGTATATGTATGGTACATATGCAACCATGTGTAGGAAGACTGCCCCTGTTCCCAGGCGCAGGAGGATGCTGATAGTGTGACAGGAACCAGCGCTGAGCCAAGCGGCCTCAATCCGTTCTGAACGCCCCGGCCACAAAGCTTGGGCCGGGCGTCTCTAGGACCCTAGGAGTGCAACAGGTGTGAAAAGGCAACCAAGTGGAAGAGTGAAATCACCTTAGGATGATTTAGGATGCAAATGAGCTGCACATAAGCTGCTTGTGTATGTTTGAAAGGTACATCATGTGCGAAGGGTTCACTTCGAGACGATGCTGCAGATACTTGTTCAGGGGTCCCCCAATTTTCCGACACCTTTGTGGGGTGGAAAAAAACTCTGCTGTTGGATGAGGCGGTGGCGAATGTGATTGGGACGGCTGGTGGGGTGCGCAGGTGCGACAACAGCAGCTCTGACTGTGGCTGAGCAGCTTGCGTAGCTTGCGTGGGAAGCATCACTTCATGCCAAAGTGACAGGACTCAACCGCCGTAGCTTGGCATCCACCACATGTCAATAGCCCAGTGGGTTGGAGTCAGTGAAAATCATTGAACACTCTGCGCACGGCAGCGAAGCCAAGGCAGCTCCTTGTGCACTTGTCATCAGACACTTTTTGTTTCGACTTGCTGTAGATGTGCCTTCTCCAACCGCTGCTTGTTTGGCTCCATCGGGGAAGGTAAAGACACTGCGGGGTTTGGCAAGGGCCCAGAAGCGAAGATGCAGCTCTTCATCAGGACCGGCCACGGCTGCGGAACTTTCATGCATTACCCTCTGGTAATTTGACATAGCTATGGGAAGTGGCCCATTGATAGATGATTATATAATTATACCGATACCTATTGTAATTTTCCATTACAGTATGTAAAATATTGTAAAATTACAAGAGGCGAAATTCTGCTGCCAATTTTTCGATGTTTTTTTTTTGGTCAAGCTTTCTGTCACTCCCAATCACCAAGCCGAGTGACTAGATGACCCGCTGATGACCTGCTTCTTTTTCAGGACTCCGGAGGGTGAGTCCAAGGTGCTCGATGTTGAGGCCAGCTGAAAGCGGGTTGGAGCCTACCATGACGCTGGTTTTATGCAGTAGTTCTGCTTTTTTATTTCCGATTTTATCCTCTTCGATGACTTTTGGACACCTCGAAAAGTGCGCACCATCAGGGCCACTTCTCTGTGAACGAACTGAAGGTGCAGCCTTTGTCCGCAACAGCAAAGCCTAGCATCCAGTTACGCATTTCAAGAGAAAACCTGAAGCATTTTGAAGCACTGGCAGACTAGCGGAACAACTGAAAGATGCTGAAAGCCTTGGAGTTTAAGATGGCCAGTTGCGTCACTCCTTCCGCACAGCTGATGCTGAAGGCACAGCTGGGACTCTCGGAGGAAGTTCTTTGCTTCGGTGGTCAGTGCGGCACTGAGACCACTGAGACCACTGAGAGCCTGGGATGGCCTGGCGAAGGGCTGGGATTCGGATGATTCGGCTCCATCGGCTCCAGGTGCTTGGAAAATGGCAACCTTGCTGAATATCAGGCCTGACATGCTGAATGTCATGCGTCTGATAACTTGCGAGACGGAAAGCTGGTGAATCCCGCCTTTCAGGTCATTTGAGTCATGTTGTGAAGCATCAGTTTTCGGAAAGCGTTGCTTCAATACGCCATTTGTCGACAGTTTCAGCATGTCACCATGCTCCATTTGCCGCTGTACAGGTCGCCGATGGCTCCACGATCATGGTGATTCCTCGCCTGCCAGGAGGCGTGAGTTGTCCGCCACTCCTCCATTCAGATTTTGGGACCCCAAAATGCTTGGTTTTTCCATGTTTTTTCCTATTGTAAGCGACATTTAGAAAATTTAGGATCCCCAGATGGAAGGTGGAGATGGCACACCTGCCATGGGTAAGCGCCACAAGAAGTTCGGGCCTCGATTTTCCTTGCTTGGGGTTGGTAGGTCAATGGTTTAAGTACGATTGACTTATAGCTATAAACATAAGTCAATTTCCAGGCTGACTCAGCCTTTGTCCTTGTAGGGTACCCAAAGATAGCCACGCTCCGTTGGCTTTTGCCTGGTGCCCTTACCAGGACCCACGGACTCTGCCCTCGCTGTGGCAAGCGTTCCTACCACCTGCAGAACAAGAGATGCGCCTCTTGGCAGCTTTGCAACTGGGTTTGTCCAATTTCGATTCTTCACACATGAGGATGGGTCAAAACCTCTTACTACCATATTTGGTGGAATAAACATCCATATGACACGGATTTAACCAGTTTATAACCATGGTATAGCCGTAGAAATTGGGGATTCAAGCAGAAATTGGAATTTAACCAATAAAGGAGATGCGTTTGTTCAAAAACGATGGATCTTCTGCTCCAGATTGACCGTCGAGAAATGGGCAAAATGATGCGAAAAAATCTGGGATTTCTGGATTTTGCGGTCGCCGTCGCCGCGATGCCTACAGGCTGCCTGTGGCTTTCCTGCCACCAAGATGCGATCCTACAACTGGTCCAAGAAGGCCAAGCGCAGAAAGGCTCCAGGAACTGGCCGCATGTCGCAAGGGCCCCAGGATGCCCCAGGTCTGTCTGTGTGCCGAAAACCATTGTGATGGGCGACATCAAGGATCCTTTTGAATACTTTTGAAGGATTGATCAGGATCATCCAGGTGACTCAGCTGTCAGGTATGTGAAGCACATTGGCCGCCGCTTCAAGAATGGCTTCCGCGAGGTCACCCCATGTGTCACTGATCTGACAGAACGGGGAAGCTTTTGATCGAGTGTCCAGGGCGGAGCCCCACCTGCTCGCAAGAAGCGTGTCCATCTCAGGGCTTGGAAAATTGAAGGACAGGGATGGACAGGGTGCTTCTGGATTCATTTTCAGAAATCAAGGTCCCTCTGGCGACAAGTGAGCAAGTGAGCCCTGACGTTGAACGCGAAGCTCGCAGTGGGAAAAAAGCAAGGGAGTCTCTGTGATGTTATGGCTGATGCATTGATGCATGTGATTTTTTTTTTCGAGCAGCTCGGCTAGGATTGAATTTCGAACTTGATACTTGCAACTTGATGTACTCGAACATGTAAGTCAGAAAATAGGCTACACCGGGCACCCGATTCAGCGCCAAGGTCGGCCTTGGACCCAAGACGGTGGCAGACGAGCGCAATGTCGGAGTCCTAGGCTTCCAAGTTAGGTCAGGCCAAGATGATTATATATCTGGGGATGCTACATGAAATTGATGAAAAATTGGGCATAGCAAAATTGTTTCAGAATGGGGATACCAAAAAGATCCAAAAAGTGACAAAAGGTGGGAAAATGAGGATAAACCGCTGTCCTACTTGGACAGTATGGTATTACCTTTTGCCGTTGCATCACAATTCTGGCGGACATCAATTTCATGGGAGACCGACCTGCAGGAATTTGTTAGAGCCCGAGACTATGGAAACTGTTAAAAACTGTCAAAGAACCCAAAATTTTCAAAACTTCCTGTCTTACGATTTTTGGAGGTCAAATCAGTTGCTGTATCTGAAAGTCCTTTGATTCTTCGAACCAGTGAGGCTCAAATTCACTTCACAAAGACTTACCAGGCGAGCTGGGGTGAAAATCGATCGGCTGTGGCTTTGATGATTCATGATGATTCATTTCAAAATCAGGTGCAAGTCAAAATCTAAAGACAAACTTTTGTGGATCTAGAACCCCGTGTTGACCACAGCCATATACCCCAAAAGCCAACGGAAGGAACGAATCCCCCTGTCAGGTACTTTCTGAAGCGATTGAGAAGCACCCCGGAGCTTTCAAAGACAAGATGGCTTTTCTGGACCGTGCTTGTTCCACACCTGAAAGGTTTCGGATGGTCACTGATGGTCACTTTTCAGGATTTCAAGGTGAGGCAAACAGGTGAGTTGTTGGATGCCAGTGATGCCAGGATCTGGGCTGTGCACCTGGTGGCTTTTCACAGCGCATGTTGGAGGAACCGCAGACCCGCTTTGAGGTTTGGCGCTTTAGCGCTTTGCATTTGAAACGACCTGAGGATATCCGAGGCACCCTAGAAGGGTTTGGAACTTGTGCATTGAGTGCAATGAGTGCAATGAGTGCAATACCTTGTGCCCGCTTCATATTCTGATGCAGTTGCAATCTTATGGTGATCTCATATCGTCGCAAGCCACAACGAATCTACTTCATTCCGAGTAGTAGCAATTAACATGAAGCAACAACCAATGGCTTCACAAATTGGCAGACAAATGATGAATGCCTAGTCGCAGCCGCCAACGGGCCTGGGGAAATGGTCCGACTCAAGCATTTCAGCACAGGTCAACACCATCCACAGAAACAATAGTCACCACTTAGTCATCTGGCTGTTGCGGCAATGGTCAATTGGCATGTCCTGTGGTGATTGCCTCAGTCCTTGGGCAATTGCACACGCAGAAAGTGGGCTGATGATGGCTGATGTGTTTCCCTCTCACAACCCAGGCAGGTGGCTCTTCTGCTGGGACAGGGGCAGGACAGCTTCAGAAACCTGACAAAGTTGAAGTGTTTGTGGTGGCAAAGGCATCAAACCTCGAGTTGAGAACAAGCAGCAACTACATAGAAGCCACAAACATCCAGAACCAGTCGTCCCAGTCGTTCGTCCAGGATGTTTCGGCGGATCAGACCTTCAAGGTGCCTGGCATGCTGGAGTGCGAGGGTGGAGCCTGGCCCAAGGAGCGGGTGAGGAACTGGTTGAACTGCTTGGATCACAGAGTGTCCTGGTCCAAACACTAACTCGCATGCCTTCTGTTCTGATTTTTTTCCTGTTGATTTGTCACAACAGCTTTTTTTCTCACAACTTTTACTCCGTATTGGCTTCGCCGTGGTATCCTTTGGCAATCAGCTCCAGCTCCGAAGTTTCACTGTTCTTCGGTAGTTGGACAACAGGAGTGGCAACACTTCCGTCTGGCGGCAACAGAGGTCGTAGATGGCGGTGTTGGTTGTTGGCAAAGCAAAGGGCTGTGCAAATTCCACTGATTTCAGGGATGTCCATACCATTGCCACAAGACCAGAGAAAATGATGTAGCTGTGTAGCTCTATATTAACACCTGATTTCCCTGGACCAAAAACTACCCCACTTTGTGGCATGTTGGAGACAATGCAGTTGGTGTCGCAGTAGTGGGCTCAAGTCCCGCTACAGTAGAGGGTCGCGACTCTGCGCGACTTCATTTTGCAGGAGACTGGCTCTACAGAAGACTGTCATTTCGCGATGAAGTTCGTTTCTTTCCGAGTGTTTCACATGTTTCACATGATCCGGCCCGTCGATTTTCTACGCATTGGTTGGTCAATAGAGGCTTACTGACACCAATTTTAACTTTCACAATGTGTACCTAAATGATCCTAAATGCAACTAATGGATGCATCGATTTTTCCACGGGACATCGTGTCGCGAGGAACAATGCAGTTCTATGGTTCCTGTTTGAAAGCGTCCGACAAGGACCTGATGGACCTGGCGCAACTGAAAAATGGGGGAATCATGGGAATCATGGGAATCATGGGAATCCGGCAGGACCGAGAACCCAAGAAAGTCGTGATTGTGACAGAAGCTACAAGCCCACTCAAGGATCTCAAGGATGCACCCAGGTTGGGATGGGATTTTGGATGATTTTGGGACGGATTGCAATGTCGTGGTTTGCAGGGGAAAGGAAGAGAAGAAATATGCCCCAACTCGAACTGAAGCTGTTCTCAGGCGCGGAAGCTGCGGAAGCTTCCGAGATTTTTTTGATTCGACCCGATGTCCGTCCTGCATGCCCTCCAGATCCCGAGCCGATCGCCGACAGTGATTGCTCAGGTATTTGCGCAAGAGGGGAGCACATGCCCGAGCTAAAGTCACTTCATTCCTGAAAGAAAACGGTTTTGAGCACAACGTCAATTCCAAGAAGAAGAAAGGATGGTTTGGTTGGGACCTTAGTGGATCATGGCCGTGTCAGAATCATCGAGAGCCTGGAGTTTATCTTGACAAACTGTGATCCTCTGTGATTTTTGTCCAGGCTTTAGATTCACATATCCTCTCCACTTGGCGGTCCTACAGAAGAATGTGGACATCACCAACCTTCTTTTGGAAACTTGGTGAGACATGGTGAGACATGGTGAGAGATGGTGAGAGACATCGGGAGACAGCTTCAGAGTTCTGAAAGATTCTGAAAGTGGAAAGATTGGGCGAAATCATCCCTTGTCCTGGCCACAGGATTGTGGAGCAGATCCGACTGTGCAAGATTCGAGTGGCTACACAGCCTTCCAGCTGGCTGTCTTGAAAGATCCCAATTCAAAGGTGGGGAAACGGGGTGCCAAGGAGAAATTGGGCAGTCTTCCTCTGTGGAAAAACCCATAGAATCCCATAGAGATTTTGAGGGAATTTCTGAAGCTGGCAAATCCTCTAATGCTATTTGCATCTATTTGCTGTAGCCACTTGAGTACAGAGTCGAAGGTTTCGAGATTTGGGATGTGTCAAGATCTTCAAGCCTTGGAGAAATGAAGCGACATGACATGAAAGTTTCAGCTGGAGGTGGTGGAATGCTTCCTACATAGGCATACCCGGAAGAAGGCAGGCCAGACATCGACATCTTGCTGCGAGTCATTGTTGTGAAATGTTGTGAAGCATTGCTCCACACCTTTCTTGATCCCGAGAAATCCTCCCAGGTGCTTTGGCATCTTTGATTTTGCATCTTCATCCGACTTAATCCGACTTCATCCAACTGACTTTCATCTTCATGGCTGACTGTTGGAGTTCTGACCGGAACCAAGTCAGCTCTTGAATGCAAGCGTCGACTTGTGTGAGCAGCACTTTCTGCGAAGCAGAGCCCACTTTGAGCTCAGCGAACCGGATTTTGCTGGATGTGTTTTACGTCGACAAGTGATATCACTTCCTCAACTCTCTTCCTTGCTGCATTTTTTTCCCAGGTCAAAAGAGCCACGTGAATGGCAGCAAGGTTGTGAACATTAAACTATTCGTAAGTTCATAACGAGCCACTACGGAGCTGCACAATCTCATACACTCAAATTGTTTAGTAATTTTCTATGTAACTTTGATGTCCTAATTGTGGCTAATCTCACATTTCCATTTTCATCTCTGATGTATTACCCTCTGGTAAATAAACATAGACCCTGAAAATAGCCAATTTTTAATGGAAACTAATCTTCCAACCCCTATCTGGCAGGGTCTATGTTAATTTACTGGAGGTAAAGATGTATTAAGTTTGACTTGGGTGTCAGCACAGGCAGCGTAGGAGAGAACGAGGTTCCTTTCAACCTTTCAAGGTTCAGCCCAAAGCTTGGAGACTTTGACGTAGCGTCGTTCGTTTTCCAAAGACTTTGTGGATTCCAATTAGATTCAGCATGCAGCCTCCCGGCTGATGGCCGAAGGTGGCTTGGGCTGGTCACAACGACGAGCCCAAAATTTAATTCGGTGCGCTGAACTCTGAAATCTTTGTGGAATTTTGTGAGTCCTCCCTTTGAGTGGCTTGAGAGAGCCGCCTGGTCTGCGCCTCGGTAAGGCTCTTGTGTAGAAGGCATTTGCAGCCACACAGAGGAAGTTCTCATTCTCTTGCTCTGTCGCTTACTAGCTTCATGTGCCTAGTGACAAGTTTCCAAGCTGGGAAGAAATACACTCAGCACAACTTCCTTGGTGCTTCCAAACTCTTTTTTATTTTGGTAACCAAAAATAGGTATGATGAATCCAAATCACTGTATTTTTCGTATATTTTCCAAGTGGCTTGAATAGGTCGTCACGGCCTCAAACAGAAACATAAACAGTTTCCACAGGCGCATGTAGCTCAGCATCACGGATGTTCCCAAGGGAGTGTCTGCAAAGCGGCAGACCATCCACGGGTTTATTTCGCATAGGCTCTGTGAAGATGATGGGCCCTGTGGCGGGTGTTTGGCGACATGTTCTGCACTCAACATTTTTGATGGTCTTTGATGGCTACGGGCGAAGCTACAAAAATAGGTGAGTGTGGGTAGTTGGACCACTGTGCATAATTCGCCGTGTGACACATTCGAGGGGTTACGCTGGGGTGGGGTGGGGTGGGGGGGGTGTATTGACGTCCTGACAACCATGTCCGTGATACTACGTAGACAACACATGTCAAAGTAACTTGGAAGTTCTATTGCGCTTCACATACCTTAACATCTGGGTTTTGATGCATCGATTCTTGTATGTATTTCAAAATTTAACATTAATATTATCTAGGGACCGACCTGGAAACATTGTGAGCCACCTCCAAGTTTGATCAGGCAGAAATTTCAATTGCAGCACGGTCCACAAACATGTGCTTGACCTTCTGACTTCCGCTTTTTCGCTTTGCGACAAAAAATGATATCCAGACGTGAGTTGGTTTCTGACTTACTTGCTGACTGAGCAATGACCTGTGGTTGCAACGTGCTGCGAGGATCGGACCTGACAACTTAACCATCTACATATATATATATATTTATTTATGGCGTTGATATGTTAGATGTGTCTCTGAAACTATTTATAAATACGTCCATATATGTATATATATATACATATGAGCAAACCTCTACATGTATAGGCAAAGCTCTGATGTGGCCACTTCGCTCCTGATCCAACATTTTCATGAAGAATCATATCATATTTGTCTGCAATCCCTGCTCGCTCAAAGACTTTTTTGCGGCAGCTGACCAAAACTTGGTGAAGACCGCAGTAGTGTACTCGCATTTTGCAGAAGAGAAAAAACAGAGTTTTTGCGGACATTCAACGAAGCCGACGCAAAGATAGCCATGGAATTGCGATGATTTCAGCACGACATGGACATCCTCAAATCGTCATTTTGACTCACGGCGAAATGTAAGCCGTGCACCGGGTAGTTACTTTGTCATCCGTTCACTTGGAGGGACAGGTCATTTAAGGTCATTCAAAAATGCCATCCATAATCCATTTGCTCCACTTGACTCCCTGATTGGATGTTGTGGAGCAAGTGGACACCGAACCCCTGCTGCATCTGGGTGACTAGCAGAGCGACCGACTTTTCCTCGCAGCTGAGCACATGAGCGATGTTTAACTGGCAGCTGATGTGCTGCTTGCAGCTGCGATGCCAAGGACCTTTAGGAAAGGCTTGCTCCAGAGCAAACAAATGGAAGTGGCTTTGTCCAGTTTGTTCAGAGCAGCTTTATGGTTTGAAGTTTGAAGGGGATGCTTACTGGCGATCAACTATGGGATCTTGGGGTACCTCTTTTAAGACAAATCCATATTCAGCTGCTGTACTCAAGAAGTGGCACCTTGCAATCACCCAAAAGGTTTAAGGATTACTACGTATATGAAGGGATGCGTCAATATCTCTGAGACAATTGGAATCGAGAAACATCCAGCCATATCAGCTATGCTGGAAGCTACAGTATACCAGGTTGCCAGTCTTTTACCCTCTGTACATGATTGTACATGGGGATTGCAACTTGCTGTATGTTTGGGGAGCCCGTTCATTACAATGTCAAATTCGCATGACAAGCACTCACTAAGCACGCTTAGGCAGCCTGGATGTCCAGTCGTTAAGCGGTGTGTTGCACGAGCGGGTGTGTCTAGGGTCTGAGACAGCGGAAATTTTGTCCTTAAAGAAGAAACTAGATGCGAAAAAGAGTTGTAAAAGAAGTGGAAGCAAAGAAAACTGACATTCGAGAAGTCTCTTGAGACTTTGAGGGAATAACGTAAAAAAAAAACATTCCCAACTCATTGCATAGGCGGCCTGTCTTCAATGCCCACATTGCATCTTTGCGGCTCCTGTAATGAGCGGCAAAGAAGGCCTTGAAGAACAACTTCGAGAAGTCTGATTCGCTTCAAGTTATGGCCGAGAAGATCGAGGAGGGCCAGATTTCACCGTTGCTTTGTGGGTGACCAAATGGTTTCACAACAGGTTGGTCATTTAGTGATTTAGTCATGAAGATAACATCCATTTCTGATCATTTTTTAGGGGCACTTGGACACCCATGTGACCTCCAAGTCGTGTTTACTCTGGCTTCACCTTGGCAGGAAGAGTGGCGGGGATGGGTGTGCCAAAGAGCAGCGGAAACCGGTTTCTGTCTCAGTGAACCCGTCCAAGCTTGGTTCCGAGCGCGAAGCTGTCCGTTGACATCGTTGCAAAACAAGACCAATAGAGAGTTACACTACTTGGATCTACTTGGTTTATTGGGGATTATTATATGGATAAGATCCCACTATGTATATTGCCAACCATATAAGCCCAAATAGGTATGGATCAATACCTATTAATACCATTTTTAGGGGGATGAACATCCATTTACCAGCTATTTTGATGTTCACCAGGGGTACAAGGTTTTGACACGCTGCCAAATATGGATATCCATACCAACCAGTCTTAGTGGCTGTTGGTGAGGCGAAAACTGCCGCAGCAGCTCGGAGCTGGGTTTCAGCTTCGTTTCGGAGCTACACAGGGAATGCCATTTGCTCAGTGACAATGTCCAGATGAGTAACAGCATATTATGTACCCTCTGGTAAACTAACATAGCTATGGAAAATCACCATTTTTCATGGGAACATCCACTATAAATGGCAATTTTCAATAGCTATGTTAAAGTACCAGAGGGTAATATGGGGTTATCTGAAAATAGGCTACCCCAAGAAATCCATTGGTTCAACATCATTTTCAAACATGCTTTATTTTGGGGTACATTCCCATTTCCAGACCCTAGCCTCAAAGCAGAAGATGTCTCAGGTCACGACTCCAACAATTTTGAGTGCGACGCTCACAAGCGGTAGAGTTGAAGAGAAATGCCGTCGGTACCATTTTTGGCATAGTGGTCGCTACGCAGCATTTGAGGCGCTATTTGATCCGACACTACTTCGAGAACACTAAGACTTCCTACAAGAAGATTGAGGAGCCATCAAGGTTAGGTGACCTTGTCGCTCACAACATCCGTGTACTGATGTACTTCATTCCATGGTTGATCATCATTCTCCCCAGATTCTTCCCCAGTCGGTCTACCATGGTCCACCGGATTCCATGACTCGGGACATTTCTTTGGCCATGGAATGGCCATCGGCCACTGGAGGAGCCTTCTGGCTTTTGCTTGTACGGATATTTGACGGCCTTGATGGTTCTGGCATGGCACAAACTTCCTGACAAGGTCGGGAAATATGGAGAGGCTGGTGAACAAGAGGTCAAAAAGAGATGGGTATGGCGGGTATGGGTCATGGAATATTCTGATCTCATATTTGGCCGTATGGTATCCATTCACCAGCGATTTTGCTGTGAAAACAACCGGGGGATTTCAGGGATCCACTGCCAGGTTGGGGATGCGCTCAGATACATCTATACTGCGAAGCATCTTCTAGGCCTGGATCGTGGCTGCAGGGTAGCTGTCATGACATGCCCACCTTCCTGATGGAATTTGATACCGATCTGGTCAGCACAGGCCACTACCACTCCTTTGATTTTCTGGAGTCGTCCTCATGGCCAATCTCTTCATTCTTGATTTTGGCAAAGTCCTCAGATGTCTGCCCTGCTGGTTGTGCTGAGCTCTGGTTCTTGGAATTCACCAGGTGAATTTCCATTCCGGTGGCACCTGGGTGCCCCTAATGGCTCCACCAGACTATGGCCATCCGGGCCAGTACGGGGCAGCTTTCTACTACGAGAGGCTGCAATGGCAGAACACGGTGGAGGCTACAAAACCTCTGCCTGGAGCAGCTCCATTCTGGCCAGTACCCGGATACAGTCTGCTGGATGCAGCCGGGGCGGATGTGGGACCCTTTGGACATCCTCTAAATCTGTCGTTTGTGGATCATTTACCTATTCAAAAAAAGAATCGTAAATGTCCATCTTGGAGTTCCGGCAAAAAAATGGTATGACTTCGAATTGTGCTGGGTCCCACTGGGTTGTGAATGATTTTGAGGTCCAGATAAGTGGCGTGGCTTGGGATCTGGCCGCCGGCAGTTGGTGGTATGGCAGTTCTGCATCCATGCCTCCACTGCTGGGGAGGCGGTCACCATGATCACACGTTGCTTGGCTCACCATGGGAACATCCTTCTTCATGCAGACTAGTTCTCATCAGGTGGTTGTGAGATGTTATGAAGCTGATTGTGACTTTGTGAGAGACTAATTCGGGACTCTGCAAAGTCTTTTGAGCTTGGTACTTACTTGACATGCTTGAGGCTTCTTGCACGACGACTACCAGGTGGAGTTTTTGGGAAACTCTTTGGCAACGCAACTATGTAGAAATTATCAGCCCTCCCTCTGTGCTACGGGGCGAAATCTTCAATTTCTGACTTGGCTGTCGGAGGCTCAGTGTTCAAAGGAGGAAGGCTTGGCAGGCTTTGTCTCAAAATTGGAAACCCTCAAATCCCATGGTTTATCATCATTTAAATCATTTTATCATTTTCTTTTCCAGAGACTCTTTTGGTGGATTCTGAGACAAACATTTGCTTGACCGGCAACCTGTTGCGACCAAGGAGCGAGCGTTTCGAGGCACTCGGCGCCGGGAGGGTGGTTCACTTCGGGATATGGATGGTTTTGAGTGAATCTTTCCAGGAAACCATGGTTTTCCACAGTAGGGGCTACTGCAGACTTTCCCTTCATCCAATTCTGGGAGGACATATGTGTTGTTTGCATCTCTGACGTGGCGGCTCCAAGGATGGATCATTGAATCCCAAGACATCAAGAGAAGGGGTTGACGATGGCATGGGAAATGTGATAGCAATCGTGCAGCATATGGCTAACAAAGGCCGAGAAAAAGTTTTCCTTTAAATCAGGTGAGACAGCTATAAATGGATTGGGACCGTCGGGCCGTGTGAGGTTGCCAATTTTAGCAGCTAGTGGCAGCCAGCAGACCCACGGCCAAACTGCAGGAGAGTGATACTCCCTATGCAGAGCTTTCTGATCGCTTTCAGCAAGAGCTCCTGCCAGAATTATCCAAGGCTGACTCTCAGATGATGTGGTGGAGGATACGATACGCTATTTATCTCTGAAAACCACGCCAAACTGCAAGTGAATCAACTAGTGTACCTGGATCTTTCCAAACTCCACACACTATGCAATTATTGGCAATTATCGTCAATCATCCTTGGAAGGTTTTTAAGGGAATATTGACAGGACCACCTTTTGATTGATGGCAAAAAGCATGGCTTCCCTTAGTTTCTCTCAACAAATATTCTGGATCTCACCACTGCAGTAAGGATGTTTGGATGTGCTCCATCCCAGCCGTGTGGTGTCGGCTGCTGTGGGATGCTGCACTGACTCTGAAGTCACAAAACATCGCGCCGAAGCCCATTTTTGCATATCTAGGCAGGGTGTCACTGGCACAGGGAAAATCTACAGGAACCCCGGGAACCCCTGGTGTTCTACACGCTTTTGCCATGAGACATGTTTTCTTTCCCGGTTTTCCCATAGATTTTTCGTTACCGGCAGGGCATGGGCCATGGCCGGCTCAGGTCTTCCGTTGTTGCAATACGTGCGTGATGGACGGGAAGACTTTCTTCGAGCCTTTGTCGAAATGGGACAGCACGAGCGGAACATCGTAGCAGCCAACAATGCCTACCTGGCTGAGCAGGATGCTTGTTTGAGTTTAGAAACACTTGAAAACATTTGAGCAGTGTTCAAAATCCCTGTTGGTTGATGATGATCGGGATTACACTACTCAAAAAGTTGGGGATTATAATCATCTATGGGAATCCCTAGCAACAAACCAGCTGGTTCCAGGTGGAATGGCAGACTGGCTTGAAGGTTCCAACCCTTCGCATTCACGGCCTACACACCAATGCTACCTATGTACCGCTACGAAGCCATGAGGCCAACGGTGAGTTCAATAAGAAACATGTTGAGCTCTTCGACATGTTGAGGTTCAATAGGTGTGTGTATATATATATATGAATATACATACTGCATGTATATCAATAGTAATGTATAATATATACATATATATATATATACAGCATTATATTTTACATTATTATATATGTATATGATTGTATATGTATATAATGTAGTATATGTATATGTATATGTATATGTATATGTATATGTATATGTATATGTATATGTATATGTATATGTATATGTATATGTATATGTATATGTATATGTATATGTATATGTATATGTATATGTATGTATATATATATATACAAATATATATATCGGCAGTATGCATCAACAGTATATCATCAGTATATGGTCAGTATGCTGCATATAGACACATTACAGAAGTGTCACAACTGTCGTTTTTGGACAAACAAATCATCTCTGTTTCCCGCAGGTCTTGGTCTCGCGACCCGGAACTAGTGGTGGTTGGCAAGAATGTATCTTGAATCGATTTCGGGATGCGAATCCCGACTATCCGTTCCGATTTATTCAGTTCACCAACTTACTGCGCCTCTGACGCACTTGACTTTGCGATCGGCCTAACAGGAACAAAGTGAACAAATGTGCCACGATCATCCTTGAACTTTGGAACCGAGGAATCCGCACTCAATTGAGGAGGCCCAATCTCCTTGTTTTGTGCCTTTTGAATCCATTTGATTTGCGTTTTTGCAGCAATTTCTGTATTTTCTTTCGATCTTTCTTACGTTGAAGGTGTACAATATGTCCTTGTCATACCAAGCGCTGTCCCAGTATCGAGCCGTGGTCTGCGTCTCAGGGCTCTGGATGTCACGTGAGGCAGATGTCTGAACAACGCGCCTAGCCGCCAAGGTGGGTTTTCCCTACGACACGTCGTTGATGTTTTTCTGGGAGTTCTACTCCATGGGAATGCCCATGTTTGCCCGACACCCAGAGTGGTACAAAGTGGCGTACAACGTGGCTTTGTGGTTCTTTAGGCCATGAAATCTGAGGTGCCATTTGATTTGTGGCACCGGGGTATCTTTGGTCCGAAGCCTAGGTATTTCCGAAATCATGCGGGCAGTTCAGTTGAAGTCATGAGGTCAGCATACACGACCCGACTTGGAGCAACCCAGAATCTTTCCTGAAGGCATCAACAGACTTGGAGCCCAGAAAGTGCTTCAGATCAGGGTGCTCAAATTCATGGTCTGTTCTTAGGGGTTTGCTCATCTACAGCTACGCCAGGCATATGTGAGAATGGTTCAAAACCGGACAGCTAAAAATTGGATGCTGCACAACGAAAATCACCAAACTCTAGCTGCCTTGGCCTCAAATTATGACATACGGCCATGTCATGTTTACACAATCACATTACTGTTATTTACGAAATACATGTCTTACATGACTACATGAGTTGGAGTTCTGCCCGCCAGGAAAAAACCAGTCGAAACTTCTTACTGAAGAGGCCACCAATGTGGCCTAACAGTTCTGTGGCCAGCTGCTTCTCAGGGTCAAAGTATGGGGAGCTTCAATTTGATTTCTGACAGATTTATGGTTTCCAAAAAGTGTTGTTCTGTTCCGAGCATTGCAAGGGGCGAAGTTTTTCTAAACCATCCAGGAACGACTTCCATACTCTCCCTTCTTCGACGGCTTTGGCCCTCTGGATGTTGAGTCAGTGCCTGAAGTTGGACTTGACCTAAGTGGATTGACTTGGATCTTGGATGGATATGGGGCGACATTCAAGAGCCCGAACGCCGAACACCATAAACTTTGTTCATAATTCTGGTATTACATGGATTTAAATGGTATTAAACACATGCATTTCTGGGGAGTTGCATCCTCTACTTTAATTTAGTTGACGTCATCACCTGAAATCCCCACTGAGTGTGTTGATTTCATCCCAATCTCCCACTTCTTTGGACCAGGCGAGCCATCTTTTGGTCCAAATACACCGACTGGGCCATGTTTCCGCACCTGCAGTACTTCAAGCTTCAAGCTCAGTGGACGAGACCATGGACTGAGAGTCTCCTCAAGTTTTCTCACTGGGGATGATGGATGATGGATGATGACTGGTGCTGAAAAGGCTTAGGGAATGGGGAATGATCCAATCCATAACTTCACAAATCATCCCATTCCCCCCATTTAGCACCGTATGACCATGGCCTCACGTTTTTTTTTCAGGTCTGTGCCAGACCTCATGGCCCAGCTGCTTGATATCGACTTGCAGGCACAGTTTTCAAGCTTCAGGTGAAAGGAGAATTGGAAGTGGATCACTTCCATGCTGCCAGGCAGTTTCTGCGGCAATGAAGCTCTTCAATGAGGATTCAATGATTCCTGGAAAGCGACTTGAGACTCGAGACTAAAAAAATCTGCCACTGTGCAAATGGCAGGAGTGTATGGTAAAGAGTGTTGCAACTTGGCGTTTCGCTGGGAACTGAGCGAAAGCGCCTGCTACAAGAAATGCATAAGAGCAGCTGAAAATTCATAGCGACGCTCAGTGAAGTCCAAAGTCATTGATCTCTCAACGGAAAATTGGACTTCACTAAGGTCGTGGAGCGGTGGTTCGATGTGGAAACCTTCACTGAGTTCCCTCATGATTTGGAGACCTGAGGCAGATACTTGCAAGCTTATATTGAATCTCTTCTTCAAATACGTGAAGATGTTGTTGGAGGCAACCATTCAAAGGTGGCAGAGCAAGGACACGGAACGGCTTGTGCCCTAAAGGATCCTTGAGATTCTCTGAGAGTCTTGACACCTGGGAAGGGGACCTGAGGTCGAAGCCCAGACCTTCACCATGGAGGCTTTCATGAAGCAAAACACTGCGAGGAATGGAGTACGCAGACACTGGCCTGGATGTAGAAACTGGGCAGAAACTGTTCTGCGGATACATTTCAGTTCCAAACCCACTCTTAGAACTGTTGCTTTTGGCTTTCCACTCGCGACCAGATAACTCTCTTGGCTAAACAAGCAAATCCCTGCAAATCCCTTGTTTCACTCCTGGCTTGGCTGCTATAGCTGGATGATGCGCCAACATCAGACCTTCAAATATCCACCATCATCAACCCGGCACCTCTGACTTTCCGAGGATTCCGAGGATCGATGGCGGACCAGGAGGATCAGCATCAACCAGCCACACGTCCTGCGGAAGTTTGACACAGACTTCGACCCAGTGACCGCAGCTGCAGCTTGAAGTGGGTTGCTACAAGACTGCACTGGCCCGCGCTGCAAGAAAAAGGGACAAATTGGATCAAATTGGGCAATGCAGCTACTTGGCGGTTCAGCCCAAGAGTAAGTGGATTACAACTCCAATTCTAAGTGGACAACTCCAATTAAAAGTGGACTATATAACCCTACTTACACTGCTTTAACTTGGGGGTTATATTGCACTTACTTACTGGGTTGAACCGCCAATTGTTGGTGGATGTCGCTGGGGCTTGTTGAAGGGTGCCAAAATCACAGGAGCTGGGGCCAATGGGCCACGGCTATGGTGTGACGTTGCCATATCAGGCGGACTGGTGGCGGTGGCCCAAGAAGCTCAGGATGGAATTCCAAACGTGGCAGGCTGGTGGCTTTCCCATGCTGCTGCACGACCACCGCTTCCATATCCAGGTGGGGCTGGGAGATGCCGAGGTCATCATGAAGTTCTTAGGTCGTTGCACTTGCCAGAAATGCGCACAAGACATTGGTGAACGTGGACTCCCATCAGTGGACCATTTGTTGAGTGCATGCCAGGTCTGTAATCTCATGGAGTTGCAGACTCCCAAGGATTTGGAATGCTGGGTCCCTGGATGGAACCAAGATGTCGGAAATGGCAGTGGGGTTGGCAATTTTGTGAGGTCCTGAACCCGTTGACGTCATCATGGCAGATGCCCAGGACCACAACTAAGGTAACTCAGGGGTTCGTCTTCTGGCTTCGGTTGTCAAAGTTGGCCTTGGTGGTTTTTAAGCAACAAAGAGGTGTTCTCCTGATCATTGGAAACATGATTGTCATGGTTTCAGCTGATTAACAAGAAGATGTTTGCATATTTTGCGCGCCCTGGGTTGATGTGCGGAGGACTTAAGCAAAAAGAATCCAACAAATCAACGTCCAGATCTCGGAACCCATCCTCAAAGGTGGCATCGGAAGACTTCCAGTTGCACGCTGTTAGGGGAAGCCAAGAAGAAAAGCAAAGCTGCACGGAGCAAACAAGGCTGGAGACGCAACAAATATGGGAAAATACATTCTCTGGAATGCTTTTTTTTCCAGATTTTTCATTGCAACAGCTGTCGTGGGCATTCAGCGCATTGCGGATGATTGGCTGAACGGGATTGAACTCATTTTTCCCAGATTTTGTTCTGAGCTCGCTAGGTCCTGAAGCCGAAACGGTGGGTGTGGGTGCCGCCTGTGGGCCATTGGGCATTTGGGCTTTGACCTTCCAGGCAGGTGGATTGGCCCCCAAAAAATGGATACTTCTTGGGTACATATTTGGTACCACATTTTTGAGCCATGCGTGCAGTTGTCATCTAAACAGAAAACCTGGAAATTTCAGGAGACTGGTTTCAATTTCAAACTTTGCGTGTTGGGTCAAGTATCAGAAACTGCCGTGATTTCAAAGCCTTGCAAAACTTAGAAACGCAGGAGATCATGTTGGGCCTCGGCATGCTTAAGGCAGGAGGTGCCCCTGAGTCTGTGGTAGTCCTCCATCTTTGCGCTTTCGGTTTTGGCACGGTAGAGGTACGTTCTTCTTCCGCTTCGGCTGGCGAGGGCGTGGTGTGCAAGAGGAGCATTGGTATCGTGAGGCCCCTGTGGGGTTGTCGCTGTTTTCTCAAAAACTGGAACCCTGATTTACATCCCATGGTTATCCATGGTTTATGATTCTAGAAGAGAAAACGACTTGCCACCTTTTTGATGGCCATATATTTGGGTCTCCCGGTATGCGGTATCTTTGGAGGGCAACCCCACCTTTTAGCAGATATCAGCTAGCTGGCCTGCTACTGTAGATCTGTGGCAGGCTATCATGAGGCTCCTTGGACTGGTGCTCAACAGCTTTGACAAGGCCACGTTGCCACGTTTTGTCATCTGTACCATCCAAAATTCCACGTTTTATGCTTTGCTTTGGAGAATAAAAGCTGTCTTTTCCAGGTGATTCCCTTCAAGTCAGAAATCTACCACCAGGCGAAGTTGCTGTGTTCACAGTACGACTCTGGTGGCTTAAAGTGAAAGTCTCATCTTTTCTTAGGAAGTCGCTGCAGGCGGATCCTTGTTTCTACGTCATTGCTGCGGGATTTTGTCGGGAAGGAGTGGACATGAGGGATTTGATGAGTCATTTGGTCCATTTTTTTTGATTCCCTCAACAGATAATTGTTGGTTTTCATTTCGACTTGTGACCAGTGAAGCCTCAAAGATCTCCAAGGATGTGGAAGTGTCCATGGTATCACAATGGTATCTCTTGATTCATTTTACGGATGCAAAAGGCTATGCTGATGCGTCGATGGAGACCAGGTGGGAAGTGGAAGTTGATCTTGTCGTCATCTTTTTCACACATACATACAGTCTCATGCACTAATATACAATTTTCGATAATCTCAATAATTAGTATAGATCGTATACATATTTATATATTTTATATTTATAGTCATCCTGGGGGTAGATAGAATATGGACATTGTCAAAAGGTCCTTTGCAAAACGGGAGTATCCGCAGGCTTCGAGAGGCCATCCAAAGCATCATCGCATGCGAAAGCCACGAAGATCTCCCGAAGTGGCTCGGCTTCCATGATTTTAGTGCAATCTGTTATGGATTGATACTGGATGGATTTTAATAAGGTTCTAGATGGTTTTCCCCAACCAAAAAGGTGGGGATTTGACCGCCAGAAAATGGGCTGATCATAAATTTGAGGGGATCTGAAACCATCAATTTGGGCGATTCATCAATTTGGGGCGATTCATCTTGTTGACCAATCTCCAAAAATAAGATTATCAGCGCCAATCATAAAGTGGAAGCATTTCTTGGAAGCATCCAAATCTGGGGATTCTGTTAGATTCCGTTAGCACTGGGATTTCACTCATTTTTTTTTTGCCAATGAGAAGGGGCTGCGGGTCGAAGCGGGGTATGTTGGTCCCAAAGAACCTTGATTCTCACTGTGTCTGAGAATAGGGTACCCCAGAATCCCACCATTCATCATCATTTTCCTCATGAAAAGGCAGCTTGATGGTCTTTGATGTGCATCCCACTTAGTGAATGGTCTATAGCCCATATATGGCTTACATTATATAACCCATATTTCATCCCATAAGTGGGGATATCCCAAAAATAACTGGGGGTATAACCCATTTACTAAGTGGGTTCATTTTCGTTGGATGGCATATAGCAGTCTGGCCAGCTAAGGTGTATCGAGACGCTGGCGGAGTTTTCCACCCCGGAGAACCATCAGCGAATCGATGAGGCCTGGTCTTCAAGAAAAACAGACGACTATATATAGCAACCCCCAAGGGTAGACGGAAAGGTCGGAAACATTCTGGGAGAACCATCATCTATATCATCTCTATCCTCTATAATCATGTATCATCTATAGTGATCTATGATAAACCACGTGGAAACTATTTCCCCATGGGAAATCATATCATCTACAATGCTTCTATAACTCTAACATGGTGGTTTCCTGAAATGGCGCACCCCAAAACCATAGGTTTGAATGTTTCAATACTAAAATGAGTCCATGACTTAGATGATTTGGGGGTACCCCTGTGACGTAGGAAACCTCCATAATAAATCATAACAATGTCATAACAATGTATCTGTATAATCATCATGCAATCGTTGTCACACTTGTCCTGCCAGCTCCTCGACAAAGTGGGTCGCGTGAGAGCCATTGGGCTGTCCAGCCGAAGCACGGTGCAGGTTGGAAGATCTTGGAGCAGAATTTGGTAAAATTGTGGTTTTTCAATGCTGATAAATGCTGATAAATGCTGATACATCGATTGAAACACTGATTGATATCTGAAATTCTAATTGATAGAGTCTGGCAACACAGCTATCTTCTGAGATTTCTGTTGACACGCCAGACTCGGGAGAGCCCCGAAGCTCAGCTGGTCATCAGTCCAGTGCGCCCAGAATTGGGCAGCTAGTCATGTGTTCAGCACTGGGCAGATGAATGGTGGGCTCATGTGGCAGCTTCCAGGTACCGTACCAATTGACCATGCAGGTCTTGAGGGAAAGAATGGAGTGCTTTGGGAAGGCTGGTTCATCCTGTCATACTCTTTGCTGCAGTCTTTTTTCGGTGGTCTTGTGGGCAAGTCATCCTACTTGAAGACATTTCCGATTCTTGTAGCATGGTGAATGGTCACTATGGTCACGCCAGCCGTACACCGCTGCGAGATCGCCTACATCAAGCGCCGCTCCCATGCCATTGGCGTTGGAGCAGATGCCTTGATCCAGTTTGCGCAGCCGGCGCATGCAGCCTATGCCCTGGAGGTCGTTGAAACTTCACCGGAGGGATTGGATGAAAATGGATGAACACATGAAGAACACATGATGAAAACATGATGAAAACCATGGTTTGGAGGTTGAACATTTCATATCATTTCATCCATGCCATTAGTTGTCACTAGTTCGCCTCAAACTGTTCAACGCAACCGGAGCCGCAATTCGAACACACTTTTTGCTGTAGGGTAATGACTTGAAATACAAGCTGATCGCAGGCAACCTTTTGCCATGCCGGACTTGATGCACTTTTACAAGACTTTCATGGAGCTTGCATGCCTGATTTCAGGCAGTCAACGACATGAAGGTGTTGGGGCCAACTGTGATTGCCAGGCCTGGTATTTACTACACAAGTAGTGCTTGCATTTTTCACACGCATGGAAGTCACGGAACCTTCTCATGACGCATCAAAAGAATAAAAGAACACCACTGAAACGATTTCAGCAACACTGGGGACAGAACCAGACAGCCATCTCCAAACAAGTGGGTTGTTAGCTTCTGAGCCAACCTGAACACATCACTGAGTCTGAGTGCCATCCGCTAGCAATTTCTGGCCGTGAGGTTAGGAAAGACCAGCTGAGCGTGCCGTCCAAGTTGCAGTCGATCACCCAGCCGCAGTGACCTGGGGCCTGAAAAATGGGCCTCGAAGATGACGGAGATGTGGACGAGATCGTGGAAAACACGGTGTGGGTGTCGTTGCTGGGAATCGTGGCATCCCTGTGGAAAATCATTGGGGAATGGATGGGAATCAACAGAGGAGTCATACACATTGGCAGTATTCCAACATGCACTGGACAAATGATGGTTTGACTTGGTGATTCTTTTGGGCTCAGAGATGCGTGGCCCGAGCGTGCTGCCCGCAGCTGTGTAGTGGGCGGCATCGGGCAGGCTGTTACTCTACATGTCCAATGATTACTTGTGACTTCGGAAGAAGATTTGAATTGATTTGATGATGTGATGGTTTGATGATGTTTGGCCTGGATACACTGCGCTTTGGGATCAGTCAGCAACCCCACAAGTCAACTTTTCCAATAATCAGAATCAGTGGTTGAAGTGATCCCAGTTTCTGAGCTATTTACGATGGTCAATGATCCTTGTTCCTTCGTTCCTTTACTTTCTGCAGGTTTGGCTGTGCCTCCCAGCAAAATGCCACCCAAAAAAAAGGGAGGAGAGGTGCGACGTGGCGCTTTGGGCCTTTCCATCCTCCCTTCGGCAGTCAAAACGTGGCAATGGGATTGATGATGAGGAAAATCATCTATAAATGGTGGATTTTCCAGCTTCGCAGAGGGTATCAGCAATGGCAGTAGTTGACACTGCCACTGGCGCAGATCAGCCAGACGGTCGACGAGAGCAACAAACTGCGCGCTTCGTTTTTCCGGCGAAGTTGCTGACAGGGCACCTGAAAGTCCCATTTTTTTCGGACATGGAAAATGACCATTTCCCCATGATGACCATAAAATTGGGTCAATTTGGGTCCCAAGCCATTTGATTTGCAACAGCTTCACCCAAGGTGCGAAAGCTGTGTTTAAGACATTGGATCGAGCCCCCGCCAGGCTGGGTATCAAACCCTTGGACGAGAGTGGCAGCAAAAGTGCATGGCTCGGCAACATTGGGCGCATTGGGTCGGGCTGAGCAATCTGAGAAGCACCTGTTACGCGTTTACCTGAGGCAAAAAAGGCACTTCCAATGATCCTGCTGCAATCTTAGTCGATGCTTGCTGCGATTGCATATCTCTGACCAAATTCCCACTATCAAGGTTCACATGCCAGCTGACAAGAAGGCTGATGCCACCGACAAAGACAAAGATAAGGATTCAAAGAAGAAGGTCCGGCTTGTCGCTTTGAGTCTCAATGGCTTCTTGCATGGCTGGTGCGTTTCTTGTCTCACTTGAATGTAGACTTAGTGACTTGCTCAGGCGGCAGCCGCAAAATCCAAGCGCGACCATGAGGCAAAGAAAATCCTGCTACAATCCACTTCTCAATGGGGAGGGTCCCACAGATTTCTTTGCATTGCGGTATCTCAGAAACTTGAGGTGGACGAAGGATGTGGACGTGTAGGCATGAAATATCATGATATCTTTAAGAGGGAAGGCAATATGTTTCGGCATGTCACACCAGACTTGAATGTCAGGAACTGACCCATGGTGCCGGCTTGGGTGACATCCTCGCGAGCGAGGCTGGAAGTAGTCAAAGCTGCAGTTCGTTGCAGACATGCTGACGTGTTTTTACTAAGATTCTGGCAACTTTTAATCGGTCAATTTTAGTCATGGGGTGCTACGAAGTCTGGTGCACAGGAGGGCAAAGGCGGTGCGTCAGATTGGATAGCAAGGACGGCTGAAGACCTGCTGATTTGATCTAGTTTGGTGATTCTTGCCATGTGACTTTCATTATCTCAGGACTCGTGGCTCCGATGGAAGCATGCAGGGTGCTGGAGCAAATCTGAAGAAAGACGATGGCAAGAAGAGGACTTTGGCGAAGCATGACAGCTACAAGGGGCCCTTGCAAAATATCTATTGCGTTAGAATGGGTTAGAACTAGTCACATCAGGTGTCAACTAGGGGTAGGGGCCTGCCGTTCCAGGAAAGAAGCTCCTGGCGGAGACTCCTCAGCCAAAGCCTCAGCATCAGCAGCCAGCAGCAGCCAGCAGCTGCCAGCAGCTGCCAGCTGAGGTGCCAAAGATGAAGGTCAGGCATGACTCCGAGGCAATCAAGGAGGGTGAGGCGAGCTCCAAAATTGGCAGATTTCGCGTTGCCAATGTGTTGTGTGGCTGGTGTGATAGCCATATGATGACTGCCACGGTGACTGTTGTGTGGCTGTCAGTCCGTGATCATGACCCTCAGCGACCAGCGGCTCATTGACAAGGATGGCAACCTTGTTGAGACGCAACTTGGCCAGGGAACATGATGATAGGCCTTGGGATTTGGGCCCACCTTTACAGACAAATTTGATCAAATTTGCGTGCAAGTTGCTATATACAGAGATTTGGACCTTCGCAGCGGCTTGGGGCTGGGAGTTGAGGCAAGATGAGCTGTCCAACACTAACTTGCTTCTTGCCGAATCCGGAATTGATGGGATTGGGATGAGTGGCATTCGAGTTGCTCTTTTTATCACATGAATACGTGAGGGTCGGGGTTGAACTGCGCCGGAACCAATAATTACAAAGGCTGTTGACTTTTTGTTTGCCGCTGAAATGCTTGACCCACAAATTTGATGATTCATGATTCAAGATCTCAAAGTATCACGTGTGCTTTCTTGCACCCTCTTGTAAAGAACCGTCCCCTAAAGGGGGAAGCACAACGAGACGTCCAACAGGCTGGACAGTGACAAGGCGAAGAAGAACGACGCAATTAGGTCGGGCCTTTGCAGCTTGCATTTGTGAAGGGTCTCATGATGATATATGAATTATATATGATGATGAGGATGAGGAGGATGATGAGAACCCGAAGTGCCGCTGTCAGGTCTCAGGTCGAGTATGATCCGCACAAGCCCAATGCTGATATCCTTGACAAGTGACTTGCCTATGGCCATCAAATAGATGTTCAGGTTCAGGTGGGTATGTTTCCCAATTTGCGATTCCCCGGAATATATGCGCTACATTTACATCAAACCATTCAGATAGCTGTTTTGGAGAACCCATTCTGGAAATCTGGGAAAAACCCAAATGAAATTGTCCAAAGACGGGGGAATACGACCATCATTGGGTTTCCATACAAAACTTAAAACTTTTTTTGGAAGATTTTGGCTATTCCTAGGGTTTTGGACATCGACATCAACCATCAAGAATCCAGTGACTCACTTTATATATCTTTATATCATTTGCCTATGAGTCCTTTTTTGGCAATCAAACATCCAGTGACATTTGGACCCCGGCCGCACTTGAGGTACGATGAGCCGGGGGCTGCCCCAAGCGGTTTCATGATTGGTGGAGTGCCCACTGGCGTCATTGACGAACGAGATCCCGAGAAGAGGTGAGGCACCATTTTTGGAGATCTGTACTCTGAGGATCTCTAAAGGACCTGGCCCTGTGGTGTTATATTTTTACACCCATGATGATATTACCATTCAACAGGTATTGGAATACAATGAGAATATATTGGGAAAAAAAGGCACCAGATGGTTTTGAGGCCTTTAACTTGTAACCATCACTGTCCAGGCTGGCAATCTTGACTGAGATGAGCCAGAACCAGACCTTGGATTTTGGGAACAAGTTTCAGTCGGACTTCTACACTTCTGATGAGATGGCAAAGTTCAAGAAGCGCTTTGGTTGCGATTCACTTTGACCTGCAGTTTTTTTGTTGGCACATGGGTTTGTCTGAAAATAGGGTATATTCCCAATGAAATAGCCATTTAAATTCGGGATAATGATCAGCAAAAATTGGGTAAAAAGGGGTACACTATTTTCAGACACACCCACATATCCTTTTTTTTGGTGGGGTCTACAGCTATGGTTTGTGCCAAGTAATGCCGTAAAGCCGTGGGTTTTCCCACACCATTCCAGTGCCTCGCTGACCAAGGCCGACCAAGAAACCTAAGAGGAAGAACCGCACAAAGGTTGCGCACCCGCTTTCTCCAGCTGTGTTGCTAGGTGAAGGTGTACACAAAAGAGATACACACACATATATTATATAATACTGTAACTGAACTATTTAATATACATGCATATATTTGTACCTACACATAGCTTCAGAGATATACCTTAGCACAGCGGAAACCTTTGCTCGTCTTTGGGCTCAGCTGGGTTGGTGGCATTCGCCTAAGGTGAGCTCCACCCAGAACGGATGCAAATCATCAAATCAACTTGGATGGCTCAGTATGCAGATGCAGACAATTTCACTATATTTCAACTTTCCAGGTTTTCTCTCAGGCACTGTTTCCCGATGCTCTTGTTTCTCCAAGATGTATCCCATTCTTCATGTCATGAATGTCACCATCCAATGGGAGAATGAACTGTCGTCATCCACTGGGATTTTGGTCACTCCTTTGATTCTGGATCGTTGCTACCCCGCCATGACACACTCAAAGTGCCTGGTCACCGCAGAGCAGAATGCAGCGTATGCAGCTTTAATGCCACAGACATCCTCAATCCAGGTGTGCGGAAAGGGGTCGAAAACACAAGGGAATTTGAATGAGGCGATTTTTTGAATGACCTAAATTTGGGGAGAATTTGTGGCAACAGCTCCAGTGTTTCATCCTATGGTGGGTCTATCCCCACCGATCCCCAGGTGTTTTGTGGTCTTCAAGGTGTAGAACTTTGCCAGCTGGTGCTGAAGGCATCGACGTTGCAGGAGCTGGTGGATGCAGTGAGCCGCGAAATCAACATTCCAGGCACGGTCCAAATCAGGGACGAGTAGAGAAAGTGGGTCAGAAGTTATGGTTGTGGTAAACCCTGTCATATTGGGATATATATATATATTATACAGAATATATATATAATATATTATATATACAGAATATATATATATACACATACATTTCTTATATTGTATAATATAGATATGGGTGTAACTGCCAGACACCCATCATTGTGGAGAACCATGACAACAGAAATATGAGAACTGTCTTGGTTGTGGCCCAGCAAAACGAGTGATGAGGCGATTGCTTTCGGCTCCTCTGGGGTGGTGCTGGACTGGGCGCTGGTCGGCTGCCAATGCCATTGTTGCGCAAGAGTTGCTTGGACTCCACCGTCTCAGGAAATCTGTGGAACATGTTGGTTAGATTTTGGATATTTTTGTTAGTTCATGGGCCACAATCCTTGATTTCAGATTTTCCAGTAGATTTTGGTTAGTTCATGGGCCACTTTCTTTTGATTCCAGCTTTTTCCAGATTTTCCAGTGAGAATGAAAACAAACCAGCCACTTTTACGTAGCCTGAGGCGATATCCCCGTGAAGGTGACCCTGGTGAGGATCAACCCCGCCTGGGCCGCTGCACTGGATCGAGCACCTTGGATCCCTTGAAAGCTCCGGCTGTAGCCAAAATGAAAGAGGAATCCAACTTTAATTAAACTATTAAACAAGATAAACAAAACAAACAAGGTTAAACAGAAGAAAGAGGCATATTATGGTAGACAAAAGAAGACAGGAAGCTCACAGTCAGGTGCAGCAGGACCAGCAGAATGCAACAGCAAAATGTTTCAACACAGCATTTTTTTCTGAGGTTGTGGCATCATTGGTACCTGAGTTGCCATCCATTGCATGCATTTGCGATGGACCGGCTCTTGACCTTTCAGGAGTGAAGTTGGACGTTGTTGTGACACCCGAAGAGCTTGCCAGTTTGTCCGAAGAGACATCCAGGATCCATTTCTGGTCCAAAAGTGTCCATCTCTCAACATCTCTCAGTGTCCACTTCGTAGGAGAAGTTCGGACATGCTTTGCAGAGAATCGTGACTTGGCGTTGGCGGCGGTGCAGTATTCTGGCAGCTTTTTGATGCACTTTCCAGAAGATTTGCTCCACGACAAGGCAAAGCCAGCTCCCAAATAGTTGGAGCCGGAGGTGTTTTTGTGTCCTTCAGAATTTTTGGAGATGTTCTATGCTGCTCATTTGCTGCTCATTTGCTGCTCATTTCTCTCAACCACCTCTCCCTGCAGGAACTGGTCAGCACTGCGCTCCGCGAATGTGGAAGTGCCTTGCGATTCGTTCCTGTTCCGCTTCGGCGAGACCGCGAGGTTGTTTTGGTTGCTGTACAGAACGATGGGGAAGCTTTGTTTTATGCTCCACCCGAGCTGCAGGCCGGTCTTGCCTCTCATGAGACACTCACCACTTCTTGAGTTTTGTGAGTTTGGTGAAGTATAAAGGAGCAAGTTACCAAAAATGAAATTGAGTGATGGGACTATGAGATTCAGCCAGAGCAGAACACACAAAAGCCAAGGAATCAACGAAACAACACTTGAAACATCTAATGAACATTTCGGTGTGTCCAAAAATGGGGTACCCATGGGGTACCCCATACTCGAGTGGTTTCGAATATCATTTTCTCATCAAATGGCCAGAAATTGGTGCCCCATTCCCGTGGAGGCTGATGCGGAGGTGGCTGGTGCTGCTGTGGCCCAGGTTGGCCAGGCCTGCGAGAATCACAGGAGATCCTGGTGGCAAAGTAAGGGGGTCACAATCATCCAATGTTGGTGTTGCCAGCCACAGCACCAGTCTTCACCATCCAATGATTTGTGTTTGATCAATTTTGATCATGTATTCAGTCTAGATACTGAACTATCTATCTAGAGTATACACATATAACATATATATATATACCTTCAGCCTCTTTAAGCAGCTTTTTTCTGGTTGTGCCAAAAAACCCCGTTTTTTTTTTTAACAGGTTTCTCATTTTATCCAAGAATCATCATCATATTTAAACTATGTTAAACTTATATAGATATTTCCAAAGGAACGTGATTGAGATTGAACTTCTAAAATGTTGATATTTTGGGGTTATTAGAAAAAACAAGTTTTTTAAAAAAAAACACGTTTTTTTTCCATGATTACGAATAAAACCAGGTATTAAGATTTCAACCCAAAAAAAAGTAGGTTAAAGATTCAGTAGGCATATATAATATATATATGTAAGTGTTTGAACACTATATACTATATACATATGAACTATCTATATTCAAACACTATGTCTTTATTGGGAGATGGAACGGGTGCCCACTAAAAAGGCTCTCCAGTCGTCCCCAAGTCCTCGGGACCTCGGAAGGCGATGCGGCACGCCTCAACGCTTTTGAAGCAGGACCAATATATGGGACCAATATGAATGGTGCTAATTTTAATGGTTCCCATATAATGGTCCCATTATTAAAACCATATTTTTATGATTTTTTATGGGACCACTACAACCATTACAACCATTATTACAATCATTATTACAACCATTATTACAACCATTATTACAACCATTATTACCATTTTATGAATGGTTGTAGTGGTAATAATGGTTGTAATAATGGTTGTAATATGTTGTAATAGTAATTACAGTTCTATACCCTCAGTTGCGAAGCCCGTTGACACTTTTTTTTTGAAAGTATGGATTGATATTAGGGGCATTCTGAGTAAGTATTAGGACATCCAAAATATGGCTTGACATCTGCTTTGGGATTCATTATGATTCATTCTTAATTGTCCCCGCTGAAACATTGCTGAAACCATCCACAGGACAGGGCCTTTGTCTTCGAAGCTGCCAGAAAGAGCAGTTCTGGGCGTGCCATAAATATGCAAACTACTATACTTAGGCACATACACATTCTTTGCAATCTCAAGCCTTGACTTGTTGGGGTTGGTATTCCCTAGGAATTCATGTGCTCCTTGCGACCGCCACATTGGGATGAAAGCATTCCTTTTGCCAGGCGTGCCAACACTTTTCTCTACGCTCATGAGCGCCTGCGACAGGACAAGGAGTGAACGTAGCTGAAGAGTTTTGCGGGTGTTTGCCAGAGTTTCCCTCCACAAGGGAAGACCCCCCAGTTATAAGTTGCTTTATAAACTCATTCACTATAGTTGTATCCCCCAGAAGCACATTTTATGCAAGTCTTGTCTTGGACTCCGCAAGTGAAGGCATTTGTCATGTCCATAGTTCGAGCCGGGGACTCAGTGTCAAGACCTGAAGCTAGTGATACCTGATCCAATGAAGCGAAATTGCTCACCCATTGAGGTCAATGGTGATGTGCTCACCCATGTCCCGCAGGCCGTATCCAAACTGAAATCCGACAGGTTTTCAGCAGGTCAAACTGCACCATGTAAAGACTTTTAAGCTCCTTTTCTAGAGCAAAGATGGCTGCTAGTGATGAACATTTCAATCTGTGGGAACCACATGCGGACTCCTCATACACCATGTTTTTCTTTACAGCCAAAGGGCTTCATCTGAAGCCAGATGATAAATGTCCAGCTGCGGCTGAGAGGCACTTCGGAGTGACAGAGATGTGTGCATGGCAGCACGCCCTGCATGTTTGCAGAAGCGCTCGAAAATCCGTTTCTAAAGTGTCCATCTCGTCTAAGGAAATGCAATGATGGGGTTGCTGCAATATTCTTTTCATATGTTCAATCTACCATTTTTGTACTGTGTATATATATAATATATACATATATATATACATATATATATATGTATGTGATGTCTATTCAATTAGGTTATTAAACTGCCAACATATGATCCCATCAAAAATCTGTGTATGTATACGTATATATATATATATATCACACATACATTTATGTGCACATGCAATTATATACATAGGTTATTAAAATGCCAAACATGATACTTTGATCGCATATTTTTTCTGGGTGTGTCTGGCCAGGCCAGGGCCTACTGGGCTGGTGAGGGTGACGCCCCTCCATCTGCCCAAGGACTTGTGCGACAAGCATCAAGCTGAGAATCAGTTTTTTCTGCTGCTTGTTGTTGTATATCGTTGGATCGTGTTGGATATTATTGTTGGGTTTAGACTCTAGACGATTGAGCAATCGAGAATGCATTTTTTTGGACAAGAAGCTGGATTTCGCTACAGTGAAATGGATAAACGATCTGGAATTTACATGAATTTCCAGCGTTTGGACACCCTGTCTTTGTAGCTCTTAGGGCCTCTTGTTGGAGCCAAGCGAGCGTGCCAAACTGGCTGCTCAAGCAGTTCGAGAAGGTGCAGCAGTGCAGCTGCCAAGTCTTGATATTCTTGGCACGTTTTTTCCCCTAAAATGATTACTTGTACACAAGAAATGGTTGCATATGTTATATGTTGAGAAAAAATGGCACAGTATCCAGTTTTGGCCCTGACTGTGCAGAGCATGTCGCATCCCTGTCAGGACGACCCACATGAGCCAAATAGCCAGAGCGCAAAAATTGTCGCTGTCAGCTGCGGAATCTTTCCGCAGCAAGTCATGCTCTGCTGTCTCCGGCAGCAAACTTTGTATCTACCACCTCAGCCGTTTTTTTCCGTGTCATGGGACCAGACAGACTTAAGAATGATAGAATATATACATCATCCTAGATATTTTGAAGCCAGAGGCCTTCTCAAGCACTCCGTTTCAATGATTTACATTGGTAAAAACAAGATGTGGCACCAGCTTCCAGCCATGAAACCATGCGCCGCTTGAGCCCCTGGGCTCCCTGGACGACGCGTTGCGGTGCTTCCATCGCCAGATCCCGGGCACCTGCGGGCACAGTCTCCGTGGGTGGCGTGGTGGTCCCTCTTCGACACGACTTTGGAGGAGAAAACACGGACGGAGCAAAATTTCAGTACCTCTAAACTGTTTTAATTGTTTTAACTGTATGGTTAATAATCCCACAAAGGACCAACATTTTGACACAAGGAGCCGCCGGAGCGCATCCCCCAGGGCTTTCTGGCGCAGCTGCCCCGTTCTCTACGCCCTGCCTTGAAGTGGCTGGCACAGAAGGCATGGCAGTTGTGAAAGTGGGCCAGGAATGGAAAGACCATTTGCACGTGAGCAGTGTTCCAAATCCTTGTTGGTTGAAATGTATTAATCCTATTGGGCCAGCATAAAGGGGCGTGGCAGTGCCAGGCCGCGCCGGACAAGATAGTCACAACATGTTACTTGAATATTTTTTTCAACAAAGACTTGACGCATTATGTACCAAAGAAGTAGTTCACCCTCCCTGCTTATCCATTCCCGCAGACCAGCATCAACCGAAAATATCGCTTTGGTGTCTTGTGAAAAGATGTGCACTTTATGCCTAGCCGCCTAGATACCTAGCCCTGAGGATGCCTTGGGACAAGATGCCCTTCTCCTTTCCTCCCCTGCTGAGCGTGCTCGCGCACGTCACGTGGCCTTGGCCTATGCTGAATTAGCCCATGACTCAGCCATTCTCAGACGCTTGTTTTTGATGCAAGACTGAAAGGTTCTAAGGCATTTCAATGATTTTAAAATGTATTTGATGGACATGTTGGACAGCATGGCTTCTGGCTGAATTGGTTCACGCGAGCCAGACTTGGTTGACTTGGTGCACAGCTGTGCTGAGGTGAACTCAGAGCTTGAGTACGTTGGCATTTCAGCAGACACTACAGAGGCTGACTTGAAACAGCCGCTGTCTCAGGGCAACTTGCTACAGCTTGATTTCTCAATCCTTCAGGCATGCAGAAGTGGGAATGGATCAAAATCTTTGACATTTCATGATTCCATATTTTGGGCGTGCATGAATAGCCATAGCTACCAGCTATTTTGACTCATACCCAAGTCTCCTGTTGCGAGGCGTCGCGAGATCGTGCCTGGAAATAGTGTTGCCTTCACCAACTCTCCGCCTGTGCGAGCTGCACTTTCTGGGGGACTCCTGGTTCTTGATGCCTGGACTCAGTTGAGAACTGAAGTGAGAGAGAGCTTCAAATGGCATCTGGATTGGACACGATGGTTTACGGCGATTTAAGAATCTAGTCCAGAGATTTGTTGAACTGATGAGAGTCTGTATTGTGTTGTTGTTAAGTGCAGAAAGGATGTGCCATGCAGAGCAATGAACCAGAATCTGGTTTGAGGATGGGTTGGAGCGAGCTGAACGAAATGTTCTTCCAACGCTGAACAACCTGTTCCTTGTCAGGGTGAAGGTGTTTGTCACAATGCAACCAACATTTCGGTGGGAGGGAGGTGGCTGAAGGGATTTATCGCCCTTTGATAATTTAACATAGCTAGCAAAAATGCCCCGTTTATAGATGGTTTACCTATTGACCCTATTGAACATGTTGATTTTCCAATAGTTTCCAATACATATATATATATATGTACACACACATATGTATATATATATACAAAGTATATATATAATTATATATAGTTATATATATATATAATTATATAGATATTATATTTCCAGGGAAAACACATATATATATATACACCTGGAAAAACACATATATATATATATACACATACATACATACATACATACATACATACATACATACATACATTTACTTTACTTTACTTTACTTTACTTTACTTTACATTACATTACATTACATTACATTACATACATACATACATTTACTTTACATTACATTACATTACATTACATTACATTACATACATACATACAGTACATATATATGTATACAATATATATATAATACTTTATCCAATTTTATACATACATATATATATATATACACACTATATATATACAATATATATATACACTATATATATATACATATATATACATATATGTATATTATATTTCCAGGGAACAACATATATATATATATATTTATAATGTCAAGTTAGGATTGATCAACACCGCCCGATTAATCAACCTCCACTGCCCCCCCCAAAAATGTAATTTAAAAACAGGTGGTCCCCCTGGATTAATGAACTCTTTTGCCTGGACCTGATTAATCAACCTCCAGTGCTGAAATCCCATTTTGTTTTATTTTCCAACTCTCTTTATTTTCAAATGGTTTCCTTATTCTATACTTAAGTTGAAACCTCATGAACACCAGAACCCATCACTGCTGATCATGAAAAATTGAAAAAAAACTATTCCCCAAATGATCGATTTCTAATTAAATTCTTTATAAAAATCATCAGTTTGGATAGCTCCCAAAGGGTACCCCCCCATGAGCCCATGTCCCCCATTAATAATAACCAGAGGATTCCCCTTATTAATCAACCCCTTCCAAAGGGGCGTTTATTTAGGGGGGAAACTAGGAAAGACCTTCCAAGGTCAATCTGACCTTGTGGGGGGTTTGTTAATCCGATGTTGCCATTATATATATATATAATTTCCAATAAATTCCAATATTTTCCATAGCTATTCTAGATTACCAGAGGGTCAATCTGCCGAGGCTCGAGAATCGAGAAATGTCCCTAGAAGACGGTCGCTTTCTGGTCGAGTCTGTCCGCTACGAGGCCCTCAAAGGTTCCATGACGGACTCTGCGACCTTTGTCAATTTTGATATCAATTTTGATTGGTTTAAGGGAGATCAATGGATTGGAAACCATAATTTTCAACATCAAATAGAGGATTTTCTGGTAAAATGTACCTTAAACCGATCCAATGATGATATGATGATAGGGAACATGATGATTCACCATCAGAATTTGGGGTACCCTGTTTTTCGGACAAACCCATGTTCGCGACTTTGGCGACAAAGTACCAGTACATGCCGTGAGCCAGACAAAGGATTCACAGGATGAGCATATATGAGCATATACATATATATATATATATATTATACATATATATATATATTATACATATATATATATTATATACAGGATCATACAGGAAGATACCATTTGTTAATTGTTTGCTTGAATGAACAAGTCTGTTCAGTTCTGAGAGATTGCATCGAATCGCGCGATTGAGGGATCAACGATGATCCCGGGGACAGTTCATCCCCCCACTTGGAACAGAGGTATTGATCCATGCCCAGATTCCTCAGTTCGATGATTTTCCAATATTTTAGAATGCTCACTTCAATAGATGAGAATCCCCATTTAAACAGATCATCCCCAATGGGAATCAGTGATCAATCTCTTGTTTTTTCAGAGGATCAATCCCCAATGGGAATCAATGCACCATCTCTGCTACCCTCTGGTAATTTAACATAGCTATTGAAAATCACCATTTATAGTGGATTTTCCCATTATTTTCCCATTAATTATGGTGATTTTCCATAGTTTTTTGTATGTTTACCAGAGGGTAAGGAGTGGATTGACTGCGGTGCATCGCCACTTTCGCGTCCTGGCGCTGGCTTCGCCCTGTCCACCCTTCGATGGCCGAGCGCTTGACCCACCACTGAGGTCACGCTTCCAGGCGTCGCCTGGCAACGTCAAGGGGTGGTCATTTTGGGCTTCACTGGGTACTAAATGATGTGTTATAGGATTTGAATAGGATATGAAGATGCAGATGATCACTTTTTCAGGCACCTGATTCATGAGGCTTACTTGTTCATGTTTTTTACGGCTTTGAGATGCTTTTATGTGGGTCAGCAAGAGTACGGACCATGAGCCATGTCAACTAACCGACCAACAACGATATACCCGAACCTCCCAAGGTACTGAAGCCATGGGTTCGGGTAAAATCCCAACCAACCCCTTGAGTTTTCTGAGGTTGTTAGTGCCACCCGCACCACTGGAAGAGTTGACTGAAGCTCTGCAAGGGCATGACGACTCCGTGGTGTCTCCTCTGCTCACGGCAGCCGAGACGATCATTGCATCTCGCTCCAACTGTTTGATTTTCCAAGATGGGTCCAATGGGTCCCAAGGAACCAACACGATTTTTTCATGGTACTTCATGATGTTTCAGGTGTGTTTTTCTGTTAGATGAGTTTTATTTTTCCATTTTTTGTTGACGGAAACAGCTTGGCAGCTTTGCGCAGGAATTGGAGCGGCAATCCATCAGGCAAAATGCCTCGTTCTTCTCCTTCTCGACCAGTTCGTTTTTGAGATACTGCTCTCAACGCCCGCTGCCAAAGGGCAATGCGGAGGACATTTTGATGCTCTTCTGCACTTAATTTTGCACACTGAGGTCTTGGCATGATACCTTTGAATCCCATGGCATTATTTTCATATTATTGTATTATTTTACAGATTGTTTAGGCCTCTCGGTTATTGCATCCTCTGCATGAGTTTTTTCAAGCGTGCAGTTTCAAGAATGCAGTTTCAAGCGTGCAGCATTGTTACCTGGACACGGCCAAAGGTTTGACAATAGCACTTGGCTTTCTAGTTGCAGCATCTTAGGAGATGCGTTTATCCTCCACTTCATGCTTCTGACTGCCCATCTATGCCTGAAGCTGCATCGTCGGTTACACAGGCGCCATCAACCTCAACTGAATGTGACAGCGAAGAGGTTCTGCTTGGAAGAAACATGCAAAGAACATGTCAGATCTTGGGCGCGTAGGCTTTGAGAAAGTTAAGGCTGAAGCCTCCATCTCAGAGAGGACCGCCTATGGCTTGCGATGTTGTGCCAAGAGGCGAGAGGCTTTGACTAGTTTTGAAGTTGGAAAAGGCACCCACCAGGACCCACCACAGCTCTGTGAATTTTCAGGACTGGATGATGGGAGCGGATCGCTGGTTGGAACTCACTATCGCACAGCGGAAATTGGAGCCACAGCGCAAGCCATTGAGGCTCACCCGTTCTCCAGTACATTCAGTACATTCAGTACATTCAGTACATGTATCATGCGAAGTTTTGGAGATTTATGGGTACCAAGGGTTCTTCACAGTTTTTCAGAGACTTGTTGATGTAAGACATCTGAACTGCACTTTTATCATCCCAACTGGTACAGTCATTCCAGCGCAGGGTAGCCACACCCAAATCGAGGCCGATATGGCTCGGGGCCAGAATATCTTGTTGCTTGGTGCACGGGGCAGTGGCAAAAGTGCCATTGTTCGTGCACTTGGACATGGAAAATGGCTACTATGGCAGCATTTAAACATATTTATGATGCGCTGTTGTGTCAAAGCAGGATTCCAAGGTGCATATTTTTTTTCTGACCTTGGTTTGTAGATGGGTTTGAATGATTCCAATCCGTAAGGAACATCTGCGAATCCCTTACCACATTTTTCAACATATTCCAAAGGTTTTTGTTTGCTATTAAGGGTGACAATTTTGGGGTGTAGCGTGTACCCCACTTTTGCATTTACTGTACATATATTACAGTAGATATGATCGTAAAACCTATGTATATATACACTTACACTGTATATTATGCAGTTTTAATCCATTCTGCAGAATGAAATTTATTGCGATCCCCACCTTCGAGATCAATCCTGTTCAGCGTTCCTTGGAATCAAAGGCTTTCCTTTGCACTTCACCGCGACCAGACTGGACGCGACTTGCTGCAGCGGCGGGTCACAGAGCAAGAATCAGGCCATGAAGGGTCCAAGTTAAGCCCCAAATTGATGGGTGAAGATTCAAGAATCCCAAGTATTTCAATGTCTTCACAGTCCAAAGTTTGTTTGTTGAAAATTCCATCCTTTATTTTTTCACCTTGGAACATCCAAAAGGATTCTTGACTGCTTGTTGGGTCGCTCCCTTAACAGGTGCCTCAACTTGGGCAGACCAGCCAGTGGCCGCTGCAGCCCGTGTGGGTCACGTGGTGGTCCTCGATGGGATCCACCGGCTGCCGAAGGGTGCCTTGGTGTCAGCCTTGAGCCGCCTCAACGAAGGAGAGGTGGACCTCCCAGATGGCAGCCGGCTCAGAGCCTCTGAGGATTTTCGACTGGTGGCCCTGGCAGAGCCTGGGGATTGGCTCACACCTGAGGTGGCCTCCTTGTTCGCGACCCATCTGCTACCTGAGATGACGCCCCTGGAGCTTACAATGGCGTTGCCAAAGCTGGTGCCAACGGCCACACCGGAGCTGTGCCAACAGATTGCGAATATCGCCACTGCGGCTTTATTGACACAGAACGACACATCCTTCTCAGTGGGCGAACGTGGGGCTCTTCGACTCTCACTACGTGTGCTACTTCGGTTGACACGTCAAGCTGCTGCCACCTCAACGGATGCAGCAAAGCTGCGTGTCTTGCTGCATGAAGCACTGATGTCTCGATTCCTCCCCTGGCGTTTGCAAGACACTATCGATGGATGGCTGGAAGTGGCAGGGCTTGCTCCAAAGGTGAAGCAAGATCCATGCTTGAATAATTCATATTGCTTGATGCTGTTGTCTGTATTTGTCTCATTTTGCCAGTTTTCTTTGATGTTTTACGTTTTTTAGCACAGGTAGGTAGCACCAGACGAGGCGTTCTTGTGCCCAGGAAACAACGCAGAACTTCGGGGTGACCCTGGATGGGGATGACATTGTCACTGGATCTGTGCGAGTAGCACGACGAAGCCCTGAGAGGCCAGAATTGGTCCCAGCACCACGAGATTTCTTCGCGAGCCCAGCCGCCTTGAAACTTGGAAAGATTTGGAAAGTAAGGCTTGAAAAAGTAGAATTGATGGGATGCACACTGATATGGGTGTTTCCCAGAATGTGGGTCCCCCAAATCATCCAAAATTACACCATTTTAGTCTAGTATTGAAATCTATGGTTTTGGGATTCCCCATTTTAGGAACCCCCCATATCATATATACCATACCCAAACAATCCCAAAATGATATAGTGCAGACATGTACAGACTGGACTATACAGCCTACACGCTGCTTATCACCATGTCACCATGTATGCAAACCATGCGTAAGAAACCTCTAAGAGTTTGATCAGCGGCTGTTCTGGCAAGAGTGGAATAGCTACTCATGTAGGATTGTAATGGTCATGCACAAGAATGTCGCACCAGGCACCCATTTGATGATTATTTACATAGTCACTACCAATATATCGCTACCAGATCCCACCAGTCATGTTGCAGCGGACAGACGGAATGATCAGGAAAGCTTTGCAGTCAATCCTGCTATGCCGCTTGGCTGATGCTAAAGGTCGTCATTGGGTGACTTGCTCGGAAAGACATGTCGACATGCCAATCTTTTGTGAGGTGAGCATGCCGGCGAGCCTGCAATTCTCCTACTTGGGAATCAAGGACCCGTGTCAGTGTGTTCATTTCCAAAGTCTCCATGTCAGATTTGAATGCCAATAGCCATCATGCCATAATAATAGCCATAATAGTTGGCAGTTCAACGTTCCGAGGCAGCTTTTAACCGAAGGAGTTGGCAAAAATGTGGCAGTGGATCGTGTTCTGGAGTTGCTCCGAGCAGAACGAGAGTATGTGCAATTACATCGTGACACAACAGCCTCCCGTTGGCACACGTTTGCACAGGGCTCAAAGCAGCCATAATATTGACATAGAAAATCTAGTGTCTTCATACCAAGAAGGTGTGCAAAAGTTTGTATATACTATACTTACATTCCATTCCATTTCCATTCCATTCCATTCCATTCTATAAGATAAGATAAGATAACATAACATAACATACACTGTACAAACTCTAACAGTCTCAAGCTGCTTGATGGTGCTTGTGGGCCAAAATCCAACGCTCTCCAAAGTCCCCAAGATAGCTAAGGTGAGCTCCTTGACTCTGAGACCACTCCTTGAAAATGGTCGTCTACAGTACGAAGATGCACCACTGGTGCGTGCTGCAAAGCATGGCCGAGTTTGTGTGGCTTGACATGAATGTGGTCACCGACAAGCGACAGATAGGGCAGCTAGGGCAGCTAGGGCAGCTAGGGCAGCTAGGGCAAGGCCTTGCTGTGCCAGGTCTTGGACGAAGCAGATAAAGCCCCGATTGAAGTGGTGGTGATCCTCAAAGCATTGGTTGAGGAGACATATGGAGACATGTTGAAACTGTTGAAACATGTGCTGGGGGGAGGCTATCACTGATCCACGTTGAACTGTGATAGCTTGGAGAACTGCAGGATGGTGAATTGCTGCTGGGGGATGGTCGTCGCTTGTGCCGGAGCTCCATCCTCAGTGCAGGAACCCATCACCCAGGTGCAAAAACCATCAAAAACCCATCCCATATTGGAAACAACGAATCTCTCGTCGCGGAAATCTTCCCTTTGAGGTGCGAGCTCGGAGAACGACATCCAAATACATCCAGACTTTCGACTATGGGCAGCTGGCTTAGCAAGCTTTCATGCCGGCAAACTGTGTATACCCTCTGGTATTTTAAGAGCCATGGGAAAACCATCTGCTTGTAGATGATTTAGGTATAACACATGGTCATGTTGATTACCAGAGGATAGCAGCCAAGGTTCTTGCGAATCGACCCGGGTTTCCCTTCCACGGCAATGCGTTCTTCCGTGAATGTGGCGATGCCTTTGCGGCCATTGCTTTGGACAACCCAGCGACTTGGCACGTGTTGGCATCTCTGGGTCCGGGGAGCAAGTTTGGCATCCAGGTATCAATGCTTTGGTGAGTTACTGAGTTGTGTCTTGAAACGGGGCGAAGGTTGAAAGATCATATCATACCTCTGAAAACTGCTCGAAACTCTGGTCTTAACTCTCAACACTGCATTTTGGCATATTTTGGCATATTTTGACCATGAGCATCTTTCTGTTGTCATCCGGCCGAGGATGTGACCTCGGAAACGGCGCTGTTGCATCACGTGGCACCCAGCTATCCAAAGCGGCAGGTCTTGGATAAATTGGCCTTGGCCTTTGCTGAGCTCAGGAGATCAGGGATCATTGGGATGGTATGTGGTATGATGATGTATGATGATGTGTCTTGCAAAATGATGTGAAACTTCTTGACATCTTAGACATCTGAGACATCTTAGAACTTTGGGATCTCAACATTGTTGCCCAATCTTGCCCAGTCCAAATCTAGAAATCTGGATGCCAAGGACATCCAAGGACATCCCTGAATTCTGGGAACGCCCCCAGGAGGCTCGCCGAAAATGCCGTGATTTCCTATCCCTACTCCATGCGTGAAGCTGTGGCCGTGGCACGACACCTGGAGAAGTACCAGAAGGCCCTGGGGAAGTCTGGAGCCGCCTGGGACGGGATGTGGTCAGTACCATGTTTTCTGGGTACCATGTTTGTCGAGACAAGGCCATCTTGCTGTGTGAATTTGCCGCATCAAGACCTGCACACACAACTTACAGAGACTTACAGGATGCACACGCATTCCCTTTTCACATCATGGATCTGAAATTGCCAGATTTTTTAGCTTATAAACCCCATTAAAAAACAATGAAAACACGATTAAATCCCCAGATTTGTAGGTGATGCCCCCGGGGCCATAGGCTCACCCGGGACATCTCAAGGACTCTGTGGTGGATGCCCTCAGCAACGTCTTGGCGTTCGAGGCTTACGACGCGCCCCTGAGGAGGCAATCCCATGCTGAATCAGTTCATCATTTTACGGATTTGTGGTTTGCCCAGATGGAAGCTATATAATTTTGATTAATTTTGGACATATTGCAGATTCCTATCACTTAGACTATCTTAGACTCAGATCGGGAAATTGGTCAGTTTCACGGCAGACGACGGCAGATCCAGTCTTTTCCTTAACTCCACGTGTAAACGGCGCGAAACGGGGTCTTGGAGAGGCAACTGTCTGATGTCTTCGAAGCGCACTTCCATGGCATCAAAGATGACCTGGAGCTGGCCTTTGGTTCTGTGTCAGGTGAGACTGGCAGTAGTGGCAGCAGGTCTTCCAATGTCTCTGACGTGGAGATCAGGTATTACCTGCCAAATGGACAAGGACTGAGCTCTTCATTTTTTTATTTTTTTTGGTGAAAACGGGGATGCCAGGCACATGAGCATCTTTGGCGTAGGATCCTGCAGTTCTGGCTAGGAGGACCCAGCATACCAAAGACCGGCTTGAGCGGACCAAAGCATGGAGAAGTCGGGACACCAAAGCCTTGCCGCCTTGCCGCCTTGCCGTTTGACACCGGGTTGCCGGCTATGGCCATAGCCATCATAGCCATGGCTGTAAATCATTGTTCCCCCCCCGCAATAGGAGGGTTTTGAGATCGGTGAATCTATGTGAATCTCATGTTGAGGTGGATCCCTCTGGTGCTCCTCATGTAGGAGGCAGGATGCACAAATTTGCTGGGTCCACTGGCGCTGCAATGGTCGTGAAACCCAGATGGTCAGGATGTGATGTTGATCTTTCCCAGAGGTGCTTTGTATTCCCTTATTCACACGCATATACATTTCATACATGCATTCTTGTCCACAAGTCAAGGTTTACAAAGAAAAAGTATCAGTTCCCCCCAATTGGTAGCCCATGGTTTTCCATTAAAACCTCCATTTCTCAAACCTCCATTTATCGATGATTTTCCGATTAAAACCTCCATATGTAGATGACTTTCGCATTCTACCCTCCATTTATACATGACATTTCCATTAAAGCCTCCATTTATAGAATGATTTTCCCATGAAAACTTCCATTTATGGATGACTTTTCCAAGACATTTGCGACAGGCAACCGCTGGGCTGGTGGCAGTGGCGGCTCTGATACCGCTGGTCTCGGGGGACGTGGAGGTCCATATCGACTCTGGGATGGAAATCCAGCGGCTAGGCAGACCATAGATGGATGCTGTGTTTTTTTTTTATTTTTTCCTGCAAGGGTCATTGGTGCGGAAATAGGGAGTTCATGGATTTCATGGAGAACGATCTGCGATGACATCTCTGATCGTCGCCACTGTGATAGCGGCGAGGTGCACTCAGTCAGTGAAGAGGCGAAAGCAGAGGTCAGTGAAGAAGCCAAAGCGAAAGCGAGGGCTATGGCGCTACAGGCCCCACTGAATTGACAGATGGCGAAAGAAAGCGAATCTAAAACTGAACGAATTCATTGAAGTGACTACTATTGATTGCTGGTATGAATTGGTTATAATATAATATAATATACATATATATATATATATATATAGCCTCGTCCGCGCTTCTGGAACTGCGCACACCCCGAATTAGGTTGGTAAAACTTGTCAATTCCGGGACAAAAATTCGTCCCGGAATTGACAAGTTTCATTAGGGTCATCATCATCATCATCATCATCAACAACTGCTTCTGCAAGTTCACATGAACGTTAACATCCCACCCCACCCCCCCACCCCATCGTATGTAGTTCTAGGGAGTGGGACGAGCCTATATATACAATATCTCTGGATCTATTTGTATCTACTATACATCGACTCGAGGCCTGGGAACAACGCTTGGCTGACATTGAGAAGATGGATCCGCAGCTCGGACCAAAGTTGATATGGTCTGGGTCCGATGCCCTCACGGGGTGTTTGCCGCTTGTTAAGCTCCAGATCTCAGGAGCATGTGGAAGATGTACTTGGAGGTTCTGAGTACGGTGGAACCTCAAGTGGCACAACTACAATCCATTCTACGCCAAGCCAAAGACAAGAAGTTGGAAAGGATTTGGCTCAGGAATCGCTCAGATGGTGAGTTGGATGACACTCGCTTGGTGGAAGGCGTTGCAGGTGAACGCTTGGTCTTCAAGAAGCGGGGGACTACGGAATCGAAGAGCAAGTCTGATGATGATGATGACAGGAGGGAAAACGATGGGGGTAGAGGGTTGCTGTTGGTCACTCAGAATGTTGTGACAAACAAACCATGGGCCAAAATCCTCTTTGCCTTGAATGAAGTGAAACCTCTTCAGTTTTGCTGTCCAATTTGATGGAGTCTTTCTGCCAGGGCCAAGCGCCGCATTTGTTTCGTCATGGACTGCTCGGGGTCCATGTACCGCTTCAACGGCATGGATGGTCGCTTGAATCGAATGCTGGAAACCACCTGCCTGATCTTCGAATCTATGGAGGGTTTGGATCGCTATGCAGCTTGGCCGCAACGGGTTGATCTGCTGGGGGTGTTTCCATATTACCCTCTGGTTATTTAACCTAGCCATGGAAAATGGCCCATTTATAGATGGTTTACCTATTAAAAATTGTGATTTTCCATGGCTATGTTAAATAACCAGATGGTATCGTTATTTGGCAGGACACCCCCTCTGCTAAACCGACCAGAGGTTGACATAACACAGAACCATTTCGATTGGATCATCGGATCATTGGCAGAGCCTGGTCTGCAGGACTATGCCGTCCTTGGTCACTCGGGGGGAAGTGCACAAATTCCTTTCGTGGAGTTTGGCAAGCCGCCGGCAAATCGTTCTGGCCCCGGGTTTTCACATAGATGACAGATGCGATTGAAACTTGCAAGACATAGAGGACATTCGAAACCAAATTTGGGTGTTTTTCATGAATTGAATCCTCTTAAAACATACCTTTCAAGGTATTGAAATGTGTTGAATCACTTTGACTCATGCCGAATCTCCAGTTGATGTCCAGCATCCACAAAGGTGGCGAACGCTTAAAGGTCTTGCAGAGGATGCTGGCGCATACCCAGTTCTGCTGGCCAGGGGACAACACCATCGAGGCGGGAAAACCTAGGAAACCGCCTCAAAACCCAACGGTTTGTCGGTTTATCATCGTTGATCCTGTTAAATGGCCGTCTTTTGGGTATACATGATTTTCAGACACACCCAAATGGGGAAAAACACTTTAGGATCCAAGCAATTTCCAGAACTGCTAGGCCACAAACTTGGCTATAGACTATGTTTTGGCCTCAGTTTTGGAGCTTTTGAGCATGCAGTTGGATCCCAGATCGCTTCCAAAGTTCAATGAAATTTGATGAAATCAGCGATGTGTTTTTGATGTTTTTTGGTCTTCAAGATGATCTCTCTGACCTTCAAATCAGCCCTGAGGTCATTGATGCCATGTCTTCGGACCAAAAGGATCACAGAGATGAGAAAACGGGTCGCGCCTTCGTAGTGGTGGTCTCTGATGCGAACTTCAGGCGCTATCGGATGGATCCCTTGTGGTGGAGCGAAGCTTTGAAGCGCGATGCACGTGTGGATGGCCACGCGGATGCTTGGCGAAACCGCTGGTGACCGTTTTTGACCATGGTTTACTCACAAAATCTGGGGATTAAGCAAGGAACACATGAGACACGGGGACATTTTGACGACCAACAGGTCGGGCCAAAAGCAAATTCCCTGGTACAGATGGAGTGGTCATTTAGTATTCACCATCCCACCTGTGGGTATCCAATACTGACCCGTCGTCATACGGCAGTGCAGTCTTCCACACATGCTCTGAGAGATATGGTGGTTTCTTAAAAAGTTGGATCCCATTGGTTTCAATACTAAAATGGTTCAATTTTGGATGATTTGGGGATATCCCATTTTAGGAAACATCCATGATATGACAGAAGATGGAGCCCCCTGAATCTCAGAGAGTTTTCAAGGGACCATATCAGCACCCTTTCCCACATATAACATATCCGAAATGAGACCTTGACTCAGTATTGGATCTAGTATTCATTCCAGGGTCCCATATGGGGTGTAATTATTTGGAGGTTTCCTAATTTAAACTAGTTGTACCATGTTGTACCCCAAGAACCATGGGTTTCAATACTCCTAAAATAGTCTAATTTTGGATGATTTGGGGGTACCTCCATTTTAGGACACCTCCGATATCAGAGGGATGGCATTTTGCGGATTTCTGCCGCAAAATCCGGCACTGCAGGTGATGATTGGTTCCATTGGTGAAGAAGCAGCCAAGATTCGTGCAGCACTTCCAGCGGGCCATGGCCACGTAGTGCTTGACACCACATTGTTGCCAAGTACCTTCAGGTACAGCTGATGTATCGCAAAAATAGGAATTGGGATCGCAGGTAGTCACAGGTCTCCTATATGCATTTGCATCCTAGTTTTTGACTTAGTTTCTTGGTTGCTACTGCGTGTCACTGCACATGACAAATGATGCAGCTGCAGCTGCTGTTCTTTGTCGATCAAGTATTGTTGTATTTCGAAGCCCATGGTTTGACATTGCAGGTCCATCTTCGAACAAGCTGGCATTGTTGACAACGACTTCTAGTCTTTCCAAGCAACTCCAGCTACCTGTGATCAAGTCGGAGTCGGAATGGCCATGCACGGTGGACATGTGGAGACCACGCTGAGCAAAACAGATGGTTTTGGGAAGCTCCAGAACTGCGATGACTACCTCGATCGCCTCAACATCTACAGGATGAAGCTCCCCGCAACGCCTGATGGGAGCAGCTTGGGCACTGTGTGTGTCACCGGCAAAATTTCGCAGAGTTTTCCGCAGAAAAAAGGCAATCGGGGAACTTCTTCTCACAAGCGATGGACGGGATGTTCCGTGCTTCAATGGATTGAACATGGTGAACATGGTGCAACAGTTTTAATGTGGTAAACCCTGTAAACCCAAGGTCATAACCCCCCAAGTCAACAGCATTTTCATGGGGATTTCAAAGATTTCAAGCCTCGCAGGTCGCGGGAGACAAGGAGGACCAGATTGGCGATCCTTCCAAAGTACATGTCAAAGGCCTGATTTCCTCGCAGAAATATGTAGACATCCTGGAAACATCCCGGAATATCATGGATTAATACATGCTAGGCTTGTTATTCGTGAATCTCTTTCTCTGCTCCCACACTTCCGCAGTCCTGTTATGTTAGTTATGTTCTCAATTTGCTTGTCATTGCGAATGAATCCACAACGGCAGCTGTGCCGTTCAAGTTTTTGTGGCATCATCTGGAGTCTTTTGACGAGTCTGGACGAGTCACTTTTCGTCCAGTTCCTTGAAGTCCCCCATGTTGCGCATGGTTACCATGGGAGATGCTCGCATGGCCATCCCGGCCATCCCGGCCATCCCGGGCATCCCGGCCATCCCGGCCATCCCGGGCATTGACACCGGGCGATCGCACGAAGTTGTTGGACTGCAGTTCAGCAATCCAGGCCTGTGGCAAGGGAGTGTGGATTCGGATGGACGGACATATTGATGTGATAAGTAGTGATATAATTGTACAGTGATGTATAGTGGGGTGGGACATGAGGTTTGGCGGCTTTACAATATTTCAATAGATTTCACCAATCATTGGGGTCCTGCGAAGCTGTGTTTTTATCCAATCAAGGCCTGTGGGCGACAAAGTCACTGGCAGAGAGCCTTGTGGCTGGCAGCAGAACTGGAGAGCAAAGTGCCAGGTGATTTGATTTTGCAGAACTCTCTGATTGCAGCATGCCAAAAAGCTGGACAGTGGCACAGGGCCTTGCAGTTGCTCGCAGAGCTGCCAAGCAAGGCTTTACAACCTACGGTGGTGTCGTACAATACAGCCATAAGTGCATGTGCCACGGTCTGGCAGATAGCCATGATGTTGGCTCATCGCACTGATGTTCAACGAGATGTCATCACTTTCAATGCAGCGATGTCATCATTGGATCAAGATGTGCTTCAGTGGCAGCGGGCTTTCCATTTATTCCTGAGCCTCAGACGGAATGATCTGCTGCCCAGCGTGGTCACTTGCAGCACAGCCATGAGTGTCGTGGGACACCGCTGGGACGTTGCCCTGCACTTCTTGGAAACCTCAGATCTTGGTGTGCGTGCGGATGTGGTCATGTACAGTGCCGGAATCAATGCCTGCGGCAAATGCCAGGAGCGACAAAGATCACCCCGAAACGATCGCCCTGACCAGATATTGTATCAAATATTATCAACACATCAACACCCCTACGGTGGAGGATTGGGTTCATACAATTTTGATTCTTGAAACAGGCTCAAACATCAACGTGTCAGGTGTGGTTGTTAGATGGTACCTGCATGTACCTGGATAGTGGGGGCCCCTATGGTTCTTGGATAAAAGAGACCTTCACTGGCTACATTCTAGAGTGCAAATATGCAGATTTTCAGGGTGGAATGTTTCCGTGGCATGAAAGACTCACAACTAATTTTGCATGTTGGCCTGGCACAACAAAAAAATAGACATATGACATATGCAATACCAGGGACATCCAGGAGAAACATGAGACTCTTCAGGTCATTGTTCACGTTTTGGTTGGAGGAGTGGGAGCAAGCTTTGTGGACCCTGGCGTCCTGCAAGAGACGTGAACTTCAACCACACGTGGTCGCCTATAACACGGTCATCAGTACACTTGCTGAGTGTCGCTGGGAAGTTGCCCTATTAATCTTCCACGAAGCCCTGATGTATTCACGGCCAGATGTGATCACATATAATGCGGCGATCAGTGCCTCTGCTGCTGGTTCCTGCTGGCAAGCTGCCTTACACTTTCTGACCAGTGCCAAGGAAGGGCTAGTACAGTGCGATGTGCAGGGCTCGGTTGTTTGGAGGGATCATTTTGTTTTTTGGTCCCTGCAATACTTGTGCCTGGTAGGAAGTAAGAATAAGTAAGGTGTTGGGGGAGTAGATGGAACGTATTCATAGAGTCACAGAGCCTCTTCAGTTCTAAGAACAGTTTGGAAATGGGCTCAGGCGATCACCTACAATGCCGCTATGTCTTCATGTGAGTCCAAAGGACTTTGGCAAGGAGCACTTGCGTTGCTGGCCGACATGACAGACTGTGGCTTAAAACCGGATGTCATCAGCTTTGATACGGCCATGAGTGCATGTGATAAGGCTGAGCAGTGGCAACAGGCAGTTGAGTTGTTGTTGAAGCTTCGTGAAGCTTCTCTGAAAGAAGATGCGGTGACTTGCAGCACTCTGGTCAGTGCATGTGTCAAAGGTGAAGAATGGGCCTTAGCCTTGTGGTTCATCGCACATATGCAGAACATAGAACGAGATGTCTTTGTTTACACTGGAGCCATGAGTGCCTATGAAAAGAGCAACGATCACTGGCATGGAGCCCTTCTGGTGTTTGATCACCTGATGTGCAGCTTTCTGGAGGTTGACTTGGTGGCAAGAAATGCAATCATTAGCGCTTGCACTGAGGCATGGCAGATCGCTTTGGCTCTTTTTTCGGGCTCAGATCACTGTGACGAAATTTCATTCAATGCACTACTGGGTGCGTGTTCAAAAGGCGAAAAAACTCGACAAAGCTCGAAGGAATGTGCAAAGCCACGGACATGAGATTTTCAGCTGCTTATAGCAGCTTAGCCGACTTTCCATCCAACTGCGTTTAACCGCATACGCCGTACACCTGTTATCACCTCGTGAATTTCAACTCTTGGTGCTCTCGTTTGAGTCATGAATGTTTGGTGAAGCATGCAACATCGACAGTTTTGCCCAGTGTTTCTTTCAACACGGTGTCTCAACTCGACCCCCTCATGCCAGCTCCAACACGACCCGATGATGCCGGATCCGATGAAGAGGTGCCATGATTTTCATGTTCAGTGCTTAAGGTGTGCTTCGGAGTATCCAGATTTCCACAGATTTCCGATATTTTCCTATAGTTGTCATAAATGAGCTACGAAGCAATTTTCCCTGAAAGTTCAGATCCTTGGATCGTAGGATCCAGAGCTCTATGAGCAGCTGTCGAAGCAACGTCGTCTGGTGAAGCGTGCCGATACAGGCGCCGAACTGCAGAGATGGGTTTGGCTGAATTTTGGAGGGGAGACCGCCCCAAAATCCTTCGGCAATTTGGGGGTTATATTTGATTTTCAGACGCACCCAAATGTTGCCTTGAGACCTCCTTCATGCACCCTTTTCAGGCCAAGCAAAGAAAGGTGAAGCCGCACTTTCGCAGGTTCGGGAAATCACCTGGCGCTGGGACGTTTCGCGTCTGAGCAGAATGTGGGTAGACTGGGGTCCTGAATAGAAAATAGATGAACATAGTTGAAAATAGATGAAAATAGCACAAAGATGCTGATGCAACTGGTAGTTACTTTCCAGCATCTTTTCCCCCATCAGGTCTCGGAGCGCATTCAAACAATGGGCGACGAGGCCATGAGTCCGATCCTACCCCAGGGATCCCCAGGGTTCCAAGAAAGACATGAAATGGGGCCAAATTGGTGAAGGAAAAATGCATGTACTTGATCTATCTTGATCTTGTGATGTATTTTCTGGATTTTTCTGGGCTAAAGATTGGACTTTGGCTTCTGAACTTAGTAGAGACTTGGATAAGCCTGGATTTAGATCACAACATCCTGGTCTTGCGCCACAGGATGAGGAAGTGAAGGAGCAAAAGGAAAGAGGCCTCCAGCATTTCCAACTGCGCAGTGATTCGTACGTTTACTCATTTAGTATCATTTAGTCAGGTGTAGGTTGTTACTCTCACATCTACATTCCGAACACGTGCGCTTGATCAAGCACTTGTCAGACCTGCTTGGCCTCAAGAAAGAGACCGACACCAATGTGGCCCTGACTGCAACTACAGAGTGGCTCATCTCAGTGCTCTGGGGTTGAGCATTCATTTTCGCAGGGCTTCATTTTATAATTATTCCGAGAGTTGTGACCACCCCCAAGTTTCCAACATCTTTGAACTGTGATCATGACGTGTCGAGGTTCTGCAACGTGGTGCAGACGCCTTTGGAGAAGATCGAGACGTTGAAACACGAAAGCTTCCGAGGTTCAACTCTGTACAAGCAGCAGGTGCGCATCTTGAGATCCAGTTCTCAAGACAGAGCAAACATAGATTATATAAACATAGCCATAGCTGCTTTGTATACTTACTTCAGTTACTTCATTCTTTTTTCGAAGATGGATGCAACATCTCGCTCCAAGGCCACCCAGCGGAAGGGTGTGGCCGCAGGTGAGCGAAAAGCGCGCAAAGCCGGTCTGGCCGAAGAGGTGCAGCCCCTAGGAGTGGAATGCTGTGGAAGATGCTTTGAAAGATGACCATTTTTCCTATAGGAACATATGACCATTTGTCAAAAATAGTTGTTTAGAAGTTTAGTATTGGCTGTTGATAATTCATCTGGATCTACTGTTTTTTCCTCTTCGTTATGAGGCGGCACGCAACTAAATTCAGCAATTCTGCAAGGCAGCGCTAGCAAACCCGCTAGGTTTGCGCTAGGTTTGATTGACAGCCATGGCCTCCATGTCGTGAATGTCTTGCCAGCTTTTCTTACAAGTCTGTCAGTTTCCACATATTCCCAAATTTTCGATTTTTCTTACGTATTTTACGCGCTAGATCCCCGCTAGCAACGCGCTAGCGAAAATTGCAAATACATGCCCCGGTCCACCCACAGCCCATTCAGAGGCACAGCCATGTTCACGCTTTGGTAGCTTACAGTAAGGAAACAGCGTTGATCAGGAGGCATGTCAAGAAGCATATTGCATTCAGAGAGGCGCACACACAGAGACACACGGTTCAGGAGATAGTACCAGCGACAGCGAACCGACGTGCGTTAGCCAATTCCTGTGGTTTTAGACAGATTTCCAAAGGTAACGAAGAATTTCCACGTTTTTACGTCATCAAGGTAGGTCATGTTTTTTAAAGGCAAACATGAGGCGGCACGCATGGAATTGCGATTTATCAACAAAACCGGGAACAGACATTTTGACAAACCGTCATATGGATGATCGTTTTCCAAAGCCAATTTTGTTGGGTTCCATCTTGAATTTTGGGGGGTTCAGGATGGGATTGAAATGGATGGGTTGTGATGGGTTGTGATGGGTTGATGATTATGGATTGGATTATTTTCCCATGGGCCGTAGTTTGACACTTTCGAGATTGTATCATCCACTCATGATTTGGGTGTGTTCTGGTGGTTGGCCTAAGATCCGGCAACTAATCTGTTGAGCTGCTTGAGGTGTCAGCTGTCAAGGATGTTGAAGAAGATGTGGTCGAGCCTGCCAGTTTGCCAGTGGGAAGTTTAGCTGACCTGCCTACAGCTTCACGCAATCCAAATAGATCCTGACAGGAGCAATCGCTGATTGAGGATTCTCTCGACCTCAGTTGCTGGAGCCCCAGAACTGAGCCAAACAGCCAACGTCTTTCATGGATTAGATGATTTTCCCATCAAGACCTCTATTTATACAACATGTTCATGGATTTTCCAACAGCGAACAGCCAACTATCAGATTTTGATATCGGCGCCAGGCGCCAGCGGATTAGAGTACCTCCGCGCACGATCACAGATCGGTTGCGATCAGGAGCTTGTTCAACCGCCTGGTTCTTCCGCATCCGTCAGCTCATCATGGTTTTTGTTGATTGATGGGGGGGAACTAAGTAACTATTCACCATTGACCCAACCATTAGCTATCTATTGGCTATTGAAAACGGTTTAACTATTATCAGCCATGGTTATGAGAGGTTGGTAGGTGATTTTATTGGACCTGGGTAGATTGCTCTCCGACTTTCGCCGCTTTGAGTTGACGACTCTCGTTGATCGATCCAGGACTCCCACAGAATCCGAAAGCTTGACAACCGTCCATTGGAGATGTCCACTGTGGATGGAGATATCAAGCTCGAATACCGAGATGACTTTGGCAGGGTGCGGGACCTCAGCGGTGCTCAAAATGGCAGATCTTTTAAGGGAAACCGATCGGTCGCAAGAGTCCCCTGAAAGTTGGTTCATGTTCAAACAAGAGCACACCAATGCACATGGATAGAAAAAAAACATATATATATATATATACATACTGTATATATATATAATTATACATAATTACACATGGCCACCTGGAAAAACCTTTAAATGGAATGAATCAGAATGCTGTGGACACAATTTCCCTGTGAGGTGCAAACCCCCAAGGAGGCCTTCCGCTCCATCTCCTGGAAGTTTCACGGCAAGGCAGGGGTTTCAAAGCTGAAAAAACTGGTGATGCATGTCCCATATGGATCCCATATGGTGGTTTCTTAAAATGGGGGATCCAGGTTTTAATACTAAACAATTCTAATTTTGGACAATATGGGGGTGCCCCATTTTAGGAAACCTCCATATAGTCATACATATATAGAGTTGACATATGAACCAGTTGGTATATTAACCACGTGGTTTATATTAACTGGATATAGCTCTCACATACCTTCGCCCCTAATATTGAACGTCTCCATCAAGCATAGTTTAGTAGGGGGATTTACACATTTTTGGCACCAGAGATATGGGGTACTCAAGGCTTTTGGGAATGGGATTACATCCCTTGGAACTCAAGGCATTTGGTCCTTTCAACTTTACAGTTTGATTTGAGAATCTATCAATATTTCGGTCCCTTCAACTTTAAGGTTTGACCATCTTTGATAATCTCTGATAATTTAACCCGTGATGATCTATGATACATGAGTCAGTGATAATCTATGGTAAATTAATCAGTGACAATACTAAGTTAATCAGTGATCATCTATGATTCACTATGATATTCTGTGACAATCATTAAAAATCACTATGAATATAATACAGTAGTCACTATTAATGATATTCTGTGACAATGATTCACTATAATATTCACTATGAATCATAGATTCACTATAATATTCACTATCATAGGGAATATTCACTATAATATATTCACTATGACTATTCATCTTTGTTTTTCCCTTGGCCAAACGTGCCTGGCCGAAACGTGCCTTTTTCATGTTTTTTCCGCTCCAAGGTGCCTGGCCGAAAGAATATGGAGAGACGTCTTTTGCGCTTGGAGAACGAGATGAGATTGATGCTAAAGCTGCAAAAATATGGGGGGGCTCATGATTAACCATGATTAACAACATAAAAACATGATTAACCATGAGAAACAACTGTTTTAAACATTATTAACCATGATTCTGGTGTATATGACTGTCCCAATGCCCAAACATGTCTGTTTTAGTGATGATGTTTTTGTACTATTTTGACAGTCATAGTGACCATGCAGTCGTCGCTGTCAGAACGACTACTCTGCAGTGCGCTCCGCCGTCTCAGGAAGAGCATGAACGTTATCGAAGCGCTGCCTACGCTTAGGCAGAGATACAGACATCCCAAGCCAAGGACAACATCCAGTAGTGGCTCTTTATCAAGACCTTTCGGATCAGTGTGTTGGACTTCCAAGAATGGCAAGTGCAATACTTTCAGTGGGGTTGTCAGGATTGGCTCCTGAAAGTTCTTCTTTTCTAAAGTTGCTGCATCCGAGTTGCAGAGCGGTTGTCAGGGCACTGCGACATGTGCAGACGGCAGATGCCAAGCCGTGCCCCGTTTGGGTCATGAACCACTTCACCACTCCGAGTGTTATTCCAATGACGGTCTCCTCGCCTCCCAAATTGCAAAATGCAGGACCTCAAATGATTCAAGTATGACCCATTGTGACCGCATATCCATTTTTGACCATGCCTACGGTAGTGTATGACCCTTCCAGGTACATGGTGCTGAGTGGTGCCAATGAGAAGTGAGCAACTCGTGGCTTCATCTCGTTTCTCAAAGATCGATGGCTGCAACCTGATTTCACACAAGATAGTGATATTAAATATATGATATGACGATAATCAGAATTTATAATATATATATATACATCATTATATACATGTATACTTTATATACTGTATATAGTATATATATAATACTATATATATATATGTAGAAGAAGTGAATAGACGTGATCAGTTTGCCTCTTGATCCTTCTGACATGCTCTCTTAGACTGTATGTTGCTCGAATATTTCATGTGAAACCCAAGAGCACGTAGCCGTCTCCTTGCATCCTGAGACGAAGGCTATGAGACGGCGTGAAGAAAAGTCGTGGGTTCGAAAGCTGCTCAGAGCCTTGTAACCACCAAAAGGGTATTACGGTAAAGCAATAGCAAACCATCCTCAAATTTATACATAAATTTACCATAAATGGGTGGTATAAACCATCCAAACATGGGAGGTTTATGATTGCTTTACTAACATTACTAGAGTCATCCCGCTTTCCTTTTTTTTAAAGTTCCCTCCGCCTATTCCCAGACTCCAAAGCCCTCACCTTGATAGTGTGGGCTGGCTTGGCTCAAACCTTTTGTGAGTTGTCTCCCTGAAAGTGGCCATGCTGTAACATTGGCCCTGAAGTGACTGTCGTGCTCTCAGATTGTTATCGCTCCTCTGGCTGGGTGGGAACCAAAGTTCTCAAGACATCAAAATGGTTTGCAGGAAATTAAAGCTTGTAGTGCAGCTTGACCCCAGTGGGAAAGCAATGGTTGTGGATGCCGAGTCACCAAGTGCTGTGCCTGCAGCCATCCAAGTCTCGCATAGCCATGTCACCCCGCCGAATTCTCGCAGAGATTGAAGACTTCCTGCTTGAAACAGCAACAGACCTCATCACATGCACGACACATGATTGCATTGTGTCCGTTGTGTGCAGAAGGCTCATATTCGGCAGTCTTGTTTGATCAGAAATAGACTGCCGTGAACTCTTTCATAATTCTATTCATGAAGGCGGGACAAGTTCAAAAGCAGGTGAAATTCATAAACCAAGATTGAATGCGCCAAGATGCTGCTAAGGAGTTGGTTATGGGGCTTGCTTCTCTGCATCTTGAAGTGGATCCAAATGAGCATTAGTTGCTCGTGCCTGCTTTAACTCTGCTGTGTGGCAAAGTAGTTTTCTGGCCAAATCGTGTGTTTGCCAAGGGTGCCTTGCAGCACAGCACTGAGGTTGTTTTGGTCAAGCTTTGCCGAAGCCTCTCCCAACTGAGGATATCTTGCTTCAGATCAGATGTAGCTGTGACACTTGTGAAGTGTTCGTGGGGCTGCAGTTAGGATTATAAATGGGTATAACCATGATGATAACCTTCATCAGTTGGTATTTTACCCATGGGACTATGGTCGTACATCCACTGCTTTATCAGGACACACTGAGCACAAGAAGCCAAGTGTATGAGACGATGTTCCTGAAGAAGCAGCTGGATCATTTCGACGAGTACCGCGGCAGACAATCCCCGGTAGCTACAATGAGGCTGTTGGTGCAATCAGACTACTCTATGATCAATGGGAAATCCAAAAAATCCTAAAATGGAGGTACTGTACATTACTGTACCATATTTTTGGCCATATTTGGCCATATTTGGCCATATTTGGCCATATTTGGTGGGGATATTCCATGGTATTCATTTACAATGGCCATTGAAATGAAGGCTGCTATTGATTTCCAGGGCCTGTCGCAGTGGTTGAGTGGTTGACCCAGAAAAAAGCTGCACCAGGTGTCCCATCCAAATGACCCCGATGCTGGAACCAGTTCGAATCGTGCACGAGGACGACGGAATGATGGACCAAAGGTCAAACAGTTCACTTTGCCTTGCCCTTTCTGGGCATCCAGAGATATCTGGCAATGGAAAATGATCCATTGATAGAATTTTATAGACAACTTTCTCATTCAATTCAAACCCCATTCATAGCAGATAGCGAATTTCCCATTGCCGTGTTTGATCACCGAAGGATATTTAAAGTTTGCATGCGTCATTGCATCCTTTTCAGGATGAAGATGCTCGTGTTGGACAACCTGCGCACATCATGGACTTGGAGGTGAAAGATCAGAGTGGACCAGTTTTTTCTCCCTTCCCACTGTGCTGAGCCAATTGTCTTCTTTTATTCTGGTGCCAAGATTCATAATGGCTCATAAGCAAATCTGTTGTTTGTTTTTTCTGTAAAACCGGTTTCCATAAATCTCTCAAACATTACAGCAGCTGCAAGTGAAGCCAATGGCTGCCTTTGGAGGCTGCCAATCGCTGGCTCTTTGAATGCGAGGCAGAGGCGTGAAATCGATCAATCAACCGAAAGGATTTGGGGGTACCCCATTTTGGACAAACCCAACTGGGGCATTTGGACAATTTGTTTGGCATTCTTGGGATGAAACATGTGGGTTGATCCAAAAATAGAATGCCCCAAAATCCGGTTGATTGCTGCCCGATCCCCTAATTTGACGTGTGGGAAATGGCCGACATGGGCTGCATGTGCCAGGCTCGCTGTCCTTTTTGCAGAGGAGTCGTCTTACACATTCAGGCGTCAAACTCAGTCATGGCAGCTCTTGGATCAAGCTCAATCACCTTTGAAGTTCTTGGTGGAAGCAATCACAAGGAACAACATATCATATCAGGGTAAGGGATAGATAGGTAGGAGATGGTAGGAGATAGCAGCTGTTCAAATGATTGCTGTAATTCACTGTAGATAGTGTCAATATATGTCAATTCTGGACTTCGATTCCCAGGCTGAGCCGTCTGAGCAGTTGAATAAGATTCTTCCGCTGTGACTTGGACAGAACCCTAACACCAAACCCGACACAACTCTGTGAACGTGCGTTTCAATTTCGACTGGTCAGGATCGCTGAAAAGACCTATACAAACCTCGAGAGCGTGGCGCACAAGGTGCGGGAGATGGCGAAGTGACAGATCAACCAGTCCTGGCATTGGGAGATTTGGAGCAAAAATGGTGAGAACTCGAATGAAAAATGGTGAGATTTGGCATAAGCTTGTCTCACTCTATCCTTTTGTTTGTAGTGGTGCGAATGGTGCATTGGCGTTGACGCATTGTAAGGCTGTTCGTCTTGGAGACTCACGGCTGCTGGCAGCACTTTCTAGGCTGTTGCCAGCAAATCGCTGGCGAGATGTGCTACTCCAAAAAAACCAAGAAGGTGGGCAAGCAACGAGTGCAAACCTGCGGGCAAGTTGATTCTGAACAATTTCATTTTTCATTGTGGGACACTTGGCTCACTTGACTTTTGTCTAAGCTGGAAAGGAAAGCTTCCTTTCGAACTTGTCCCTGAGACACTGCAATCCGAGGACTGCTTTGACTTATTTCAGCTGTTCAGAACTGGACTTTGACCACAACGATTCACAGGTTGTGGGTATTGGTTTATCATGGTTTATCATGTTCTCTCATTGTTTATCATTGTTTAGCGTTGTTTATCATCATTTATCATCATTCTCCCGATTCAAATTGCCATACCTCAGTGGTTGACAGGGGGCAGAGGGACTGCAGATGACTCAGATTTTTCCAGGAGGAGATCTCTGCCTTCTACCAGGGTCTAAGTCTGCATCCAGCTTCCGACCTTGAGGACTTCCAAGATGTCATTGCTCCTAGCAAGGCACAAGAGCACACATCCAAGAGCAGTCGCCATATAGAGAACGGAGAGCTGTTGCAAGTAGCTGCAACGCGACACTTTTGGTTACCCAAATTATGTCTTCATACCTAAAAAATCCTGAAAAATATAATTACAGGTATCGGTATAGGACCTAAATTCATTCAGACTGCAGTTTCGGGGTTGCAGAGAGCTTGAAAGTCTTAAGGTACATTCAGGGCTCTCAGCGCGCTTTGCCAGAGGCTGCGAAGTGCAACCTGGCAAGGTGCAACACTTCGCTCCCCAATTGCCGCGATACGCCTCAATGCACATCTCAAATCAGTGAGTGAACATCAGTCAATCATAGTCAATCATAGTCAATGCGACAATCAATCACAAAGAGTCATGGATGTCATGAACCTCCAACTGGATTAGCATTGGCATACCCTGCCTGAAACGGTCAAAGCAGTAAACCCGATTCCATAGTCATACGTACATTCACCATCCCCAAAAAAGATCCAAAAAGGGGTTATACAAACTTGGGTAATTATGGTAACCATTCTACCCCCCCTAGTAGTCACCATCCCCAACAAGAAATGGTAGTAATTATACACCCCTTGCACTGGGTCGATTATGGGTTGATGATGGATTTCATGATGGTTTGATTTTTTGGGTTGATCTTCAATTACCCAAGTTAGCATCAACTATGGTTTTTTTCTATGGCTTGATCTTCGATTAGCCACTCTTGCAGCCAGTCGATGGTTGAGGATCTTCATGGTCACCTCTAAGGTGGTCAAGGCAAGATCCTTCAGATCCCAGACCCCTGCGAGCTGGAGATGTGGCTGTGAGGGGAAGTTGTTCCCTGGCGAGTTCAACGGCCAAAAATGGGGGAGTCAACTGATTCAAGCTCCAAAAATTGAGATTTAACCCTTTCACTAGCAAAAATTCAAACATGTGCGACACCTCCGTGTTTCATGGTGAGATTGATTCAAACCGATGCCGAAAAACAACTGTTTTCCATTCAAGAATGCACCGTTTGCACCTGAGGCTTGTACTACTTGCTGGGCAACTTGGCTCGCACCAAAAACAAACGGTTGTGATCGCATGTGGAGTTGGCTTTGGCCGTTTCCCAAGCATATGGCTATGGCTTGAAATTGGTGTACCAAGATCAATAGACCCACAAAATCATCAATGTTCATCACTTGTGGTTATTGATCCATCCAATTTTGACGATCAGAGGATATACATGTGTATATACATAAATTATACATATATATATATATACATATTCCTCTGCAGAACGATGCATGTACATAAATTCCTGTTTACTAGTAGAGTTTTGTACAGATTGCTGTCTTCAAATTTCACCTTTGCGTAGACTGATTCTCTTTCCGCCTGATTTTGCCCCTCCATAATCATTCGAACAGCAGGGTAGGGCCAACGGCCGTAAGTCGCGAACTAAATCGGCTTTGGCAAATAAATAAATAAATATATACATACATACGTATATATATATTATTATATATATATTGTATGTATATATATATATATCACATGTGTTTACACATATACATATACATATACACATATATATATATATATGTATATAATCATAGTTATAGGGGTTATATCACAACTTATGTTTTTTTCCCACATTTATACCCATGTTCATGTCTCACCTCAACTGCACCCCCGTAGCCATATCCAATCCAGGTTCAATGTGCCAGAATGGTCATGATCAGCTACTTCTCCTCCGCTACACTGACAAGAGGGCCGATCTTTGTCGAGCAGCGCTGCGGGCAGCTTTTTGCCAGGTGCCAGGTTGGTGCAATGAACATTGGATGGATCTCAAGATAGCAATTTTATTGCCATTCAGATTGGAACTATGATGATTTTTTTTGGGGCCATATGGTGTTTGTCTTGTTTTGGATGGATCTGAAACGTTTCTAGCTGTGCTTTGATAAGTCTTGGATATTGGCCACAGGACGGACGTGTTCCCGAGCTGTACGAGCCTGGGGTGCGGCTGTCACTGGGGGCCACTTCTCAGTGCTTCTCTGGGCGGCAAGATGTTTGGAAACTCGTTTGCAACAGAAGTTCCACTCTGAAAGCACAACTTTTTTCCCTTCCCACTGGCGACCATGTCGGTGATCTCATGTCTTTTCAGATTGCTACAAGCTGCGTTCATTTCTATCGCAATTTCATGGGTGGCATGCGATTCATTTTCATTTTTCCGGAGCCTTATCTCTTGGAGAATCCAGATTTTCTTGGTGTTACAGCCTTTTCTATCCTTCCTCTATTGATTCCTATCTCAACTGACCGCCAAATTTGGACCAGGATTGGTGGCAGCCCCTACTTGGACGACTTTGTGATCAAAGGTCTCCCACCAAAGGCTGCAGTGTTACGCCACTCGATGGGATGGTCCCTCCGACTGCCTGCGGACCTGGTGGACCTGGTGGACCTGGAAGTTCAGGCGGGTAGATCCAGGTCGATCATCGAAAATCAGCATGTTTTGGTAAATGGCTATGGATCAATACCTATTAATACCATTTTTAGTGGGATGAACATCCATTTACCAGCTATTTTGATGTTCACCAGGGGTACAAGGTTTTGACACACTGCCAAATCATCGAACATGGGTCTTGGCTCGCAAGCTCTTAGATTGCTGAAGGGTATACACTGGAATTGAATGGGCTTTAACCAACAAACATGAATGTTCTATGGGATATTTCATGGGACATAGAACTTGTAGAATAGAACCAGAACATGGGGTATACGGTATATCCCCCTGAATGGCAATTTCAACGGGGAAATGATCATCAACGATTGGATTTTGGGTTCCTATTCTCAGACAAACCCACATGTGTGGATGACTAGGTTTCCTTGTAGTAGAGATGGATCACTGAGCTTCTTTCTGTTTGCCGTGAACTGGGGCGATTGGGGAGATCCCGTGATACCCCGAGAATGTACAATTTGATGAGGAAAAAATCTGAGAACTTTGAAAAACATGGGATTTGTTGTTACCTCCCATTTTCAGACCAACCCATTTGAGATATCGCAATGCAATGGCTCCTGCTCCTCCATCCCAGTCACAGGAGAGCTCTGGCAATGTGTTGATCGCAAGAGATGGATCGTGACTGGGATGGATTGCAATTGCGATGGGAAGAGACTGATTTTGATCATGGCATCTAGGGGTGAGACTCACCAGACGCAGATGTTTTTATCATCCTTGGCTTGGTGTGTTCACTTTCTCCATGCTCCAGGTACGAGTTGCCTGCGGAAGACACAACAGTGACAATCCAGCCGCAGCATTCCCAGTGGTTCTGTCACAGTTGGGGATTCCACTTGATTTCGGAAAGGTATGATGCCTTGCAGCTGTACTTGGATGTTTCGGATGTGCATTCCAGTTGGTTTGTGGTTAATAGCTACGGTTTTCCACCCATTTACAAGTGGGATAACCCAATCTTTCATCATATTTCCAGATGGGACGGCCGGGCCCCGGCCGTTTACTAACCAGAATCCACATCCATGATCATCCATAGTCCATATCCAAAATCCAAACAGAATATATGTAGAGATTTGTATAATCCAACACCAAGTTTCATATTCTTCAGTTGTCTTTGTGGAATATGAACACTCAGCTATTTTTTAATACCCACCAAAATAATCCAACATATATCATATATATGTATATATATCATATATATATGTATATATATATATATGTATATATATATATCATATATATGTATATATATATACATATATATATATATATACCCATTACTGTTCCATATGGGTTTGTCTGAAAATAGGCTACCCCCAATGGTAAGCCATCTTTTTCCCCATGAAAGCCATCTTGAGGATCTTGAGGCATCCGCCTCAGGTTGGGACTTCAGTTTCATCTGCGGCCCTGTTTCCTTCCCCGCCGCGCAGTGAGTCGCGACTTCGTGGCCAGTCTACAGGACCAGAGAAATGGGGATATTGGGGACGGCTCAAGATGATCGGACTCCCAAATAGTTTGGTTTAAGAGCAAGCATGTTGAAAACAGTATGTACACAAACATGCTCATGTCTATTGGTACTTCAACTTTGAGCTCTAGACAAGTTTGACATGTTTGAGGTTGTTCTGTTTATGGTCAGATTTTGGAGGTCCAGTCCTGTGGGCCACGACCGGCCACGACCAGGAGCAGATCCCTCGGAACGATAGCGATCTTCGATCCTTCTCGGCAATTGGATATGTTGGATAGACCGATAGGCTCGGAGAGGTGCATTTTTTTGCATGACATGAGATGACTATGCAGACTTGATACCCTGCTTGCAGGGGTTCATCGCCCCAGGACAGCGGCTGGTGCTTGTTCGCTTTGAACTTGAGACTTGGCTGCTGGTAGCCGATGCTGATGTGGAGTGGCCACCTTAAAAAACCAAGGAACAATTTCGCGAGTTGGGACATGAATCCCGTCCCAGTCTTCGTTCTGAACACACAGGAGCAACATTTGCAGACCATTCATCTTGTTGGAGTTTGTAGGACTGTCCTGGAAAGGACTGGGTTTCCCATGGTTTCCCATGGTTTCCCAGTTCTTCGACGATATCGACAATCCGAAAACATCGCTACACAGTCGCAGGAGCCATCACATCGGAGTTCACCGTGGGTCGCCGCGGGGCGTCATCCCTGGTGATTCCCATGGCCGCGAATTTGGGTGCCTCAGTGAGTCGACATCATTGCTGCATACATTTGAAAGGCGCGGCAGTGGATACAGTGGATACACAGAAGTGCTCTGAAATGGCTATGGATCAATACCTATTAATACCATTTTTAGTGGGATGAACATCCATTTACCAGCTATTTGACACACTGCCAAATTACTGTGTAGATGACAGACCCGGAATCAACTGGAATGACAACTGGAATGACTGATGACCTTTTAAATTACCAATCAGATCTTTGATTTCTGACCTTTGATCGGAAACACCCCGAAATGGGGAAACTTCGGCATGAAGATACCAGCTTCTTGCTTTTGATTTCGGACATTTGACAGGAGATCACTTGGTGGCATATGATGGCGGCTCCATGTGTGGCACAAAGTTGAATGGAAAGGCCTAGATGAGATGAGATGAGATGCGAGATTTGCTGAGACTCTGATGTAGTCTTTAGTGACATGTTTCCATGACTCAGCAACCTCCACTCCTGGCAAATTGCAGAGTGCTTAACTGTTTCATACTGGTTCAATGCCATAAACGCGCGGATGTCATTTTGAGGCATTGACATTTATTGCGTGGGTCTAAGCAGAAAAGGATGCATCCCCCAAAAAATCCCCTGTTGTGATGTTGAAAATGCTGATTTGACACATAGGATTTGGGGTCGTTGCTGAACACATGCCTTGACCTGTGCGAAGGCTCTTGGCAGTAGCATCTCATCAGCTCTTCCAGTGGCTCAAGGCGATATCTTGGCTCTGGGAGACTTTGCACAACTACGCCTGGCCAAGGCTCCCTGGTGTGCAGGGCTATTGGAAGCTATTGCAAGTGTCATCCAGTTCCCATTTTTCTGGCCGGGTCAGACTGGGCATGAAAAAACTTTGAAGATTTTGAAGCACGGCACAGAGTCTAAGATGGCATGTGTCAGATGTATTCAAGACAGTGTCTTCCGAAGATGGCAAAGCTCTGTGACTCTGCAGGTATCTCCAGTGCTGCAAGCAGGCAAGTGAAGAGGGGGCCAAGTTGGCACATTTCACTCCTCCGTCCTTGATATTCCAAAGTTCCAAACGCTCTGTGCCTCAGATGATCACAACTCTCTGGCTGCCTTCTTCGGTGATGGCCTTGATACTTGGCAGATCTTGGCAGAAAGATCTATCACTTCGATGCATCAGACAGAGATGGCAAGCACAAGAGATTCATGATACGATGAGTTGGAGGTGCCACTTGCCAATGGGGGATCCCTTCGGGATTTCCCGGTAGGTCGGGGTGTTTCTCTCAGATGCGGGGTCAGCCCGGACGTTTGAGGTGTGAGACCACATTGACAGGGCGGTCATGTGAACATGGGATGGCTAGAAGTGCTGGAACTTACTGGGTTTGCATGATTGCCACCATTTGTGTTTTGCATTTTTTCTTCGAAACGAAAGAGTTGAACATTTTTGAAAGAGGACTTCCAGATACTTCCACTTCTCAGATTTTGCCATCCTGGCTGAAGCATGCAACCCCGTCTTACATTTGCTCCGCCTTACCCTGTCCAAATTGGACACCCCCCGGATATGATGGATCTGGGGCCGGGAAAGGCAGCCTTGAATTGAACGGCGAAAGTTCCGAAGACCTGTTGTATTTCAAGAGATGCCGAAGCGGAGTATCATACACAGCAGCTCTGTCAGGTCATTTGCACGTCTCTGTTGCGAATTCCCAAAGGGAAGACCGCCACCATTATCATGCTAAGTATTGCTGGCACTTGCTGCCGCTTTTGGTGGTAGCGTCAGGATCGGCAATGTCAGGAAGTTCCCACACAGTGGCCCTGATTCAGCGTTGAAATCTGGAAAAGTCTGAAAATGAAGACGTGCTCTGTTGGCTTCCAGCAGCAAAGCCTTATCAAGAACCGAAAGTGCGCAACATTTCTTGGAAAAATCACCAACTCCTGAAATCTCAGTTTTGAGTGGTTGGATCATGTTAGATCTCCATTTTCAGTGGTGACATCTCCATTTTGACTGATCGAATCCCCTGAGATCCCCGGTGTCGTCCACCTTGAGGCCCTCGGCGAGCAGAGGCAGCATGCTCGCTGGCAAAGCCTCCGCGGGCAGAGCCTCGGTTTTCAGCAGCAAATCCGAGGCGGAGCAGCTGACAAACACATGTCGCGGACACACGTGTCTTATATATATATACACAAATATATACACATCATATACATAGTAAATCATATAATATCTCATATACACATTATATACACATATTATATACACATTGTGTAATATGTATACAGAGATACATACACACACTTACATTTCTGGCATGCAAAACATACATAGACAGTTCCGATGTCGCCAGGCCTCTGGACCTTTGTCTCCAAACTCCTCGGTGTCGGGCCGCAAGTCACGGAGAACGAAATCAGGTTGGACGGGATGGAGGATGGCATGAAAGCCATGAACAATCGCCTGGTTGATGGGTTACTAAAAAAGGACAAATAAGGACTATACTAGCTGGTTGAAGGACGTTTAATAGCTATTTTGAATGGCTCAGACAGTGTTCACATCG